AAACCTGTTTAAACTGCTGACATTCAGAAAGTTACCAGATAGCTTCCTGGTATGAAATCATCTAAAGTCCCTAACAGGATTTGAACCCACATAGGTGAGACCAACAACCTTAACTACTTGGCCATGGAAGCCCCCTACTCTTTTTTAAATGAAAATGAAAATCCTGTTAAAAATGTACACTCAACATGTCAAACATAACTGATTCATTTAATAGCAATACATATTCAGAATCTTAGCTCTCAAGTCTGAAGTAACTCAATTTCTTATCTAAACCCTGTCATACTGAATAGTTGCAATAAACATGCCTGGCTTTACATTTAAGTTAAATTGGTTAAAACATATTTTAGCTCAATTGGTAGACCATTAAATTTGTAACCCATCACTTAGATTCTAAACTGACTAACTAAAAGGTGAAAAGTTGCAATGTGAACTTGCTAGTGACAAAGTAATTGTCATGGTGACAATGTCACTTAAACTAAACATTTTTTATAATAACTAATCCAAAACAATGTCTCACTGACCTTTGTGCATTCATCACATTCCAATCTTCATCTCCTATCCCATCATCCCCAATGTTCTCCTTGGATACCAGAGCTTCCTTAGCAACCATGAGTTGCTTGATTTCATCCATGAAAACATTATCTTCAACACCTGAAATATCAAAATGTATTCTTTATCACATGTAAAAGCAGCCTGCTTCTTAGTTGAACTGCCAAATGTTTTGGGGTTTTTTGTTTGGGTTGGTTTTACCACACAAACAACACTATTAAGGTCATGTGGTGCTGCAACTGGAAAAACTAATTTGGCTTACCTCAGGTGTTACACACTTAAAGCAACACCAGGGGTCGAAACCATCTCACCTGCTGGAGCTAAATGATGTATAGACTCCACTTATTTAAACCCATTTAGCCGCCCCTTACAATCAAGTAGTGATCAATGTTGGCTACAATTCTGTTGCCTAAACACTTAAAGGCAACACCTCAGCAACAAGGAATGTATTTATTGTATTGGATACTAGAACAACATATTCATTATTGAACAGTTGTGTTTATATTGTGTTTCCTGACTAATGCTCAATGAAAAAATGCCATTTAACAAAAAAAGAGAATCTTCATTTTTCTAGTTTTTCAAAATATACTTATTTCATTATACCCTTATACATGCAGTGTTTAAGGTTCGTCTGTAAAATGCAACAACCAATTTTGACAAAAAATTAACTCCAAAAATGTAGCTTTCAACATTAAGCCCCTTCTCTTAACAACTGCATGATAAGCAAGTATTCCACGTATGATAGCTTTTAATGTCTCTGAAAAATGGACCACGCTAAATTTTTTAGCATGATAATGATGAACAATAACACCAACAATGCAGTGATCATAATAGATCACCTTTTTTGCCAAAACATATAAGGAATAAATACTTTGGCAAAACTTACCCAGATTATCTCTAAGCATACTGGCCTCTCTGTGTAAATCAAAGTTATAATTCTCTGTATCAGTTTAACTTTCATACGAGAGAAATTCTCTTGGTTTGAAAGCTTCCAATGTAAACCTGGCCTGTCCCTAAAATAATACATCAAAATATTTGATTTTTTGACAATGGAAACTACAAACATAATAAAATACAAGAAGTTTGTTACAAATCCATAAAAACGTGATCAAAAAAACAAATATTTTCATTACTTACATCTTACATCAATACAGTGGCAAAGCTAAATCCCTTCTTAAAAACAGTTATATTTTTTTGTTCATTATTTACCCACTCTGGTCTGGTACCCTTTTTTTAAATCCCAAATGTCTATAAATTGCACAAAATTACCCTAGTAAAACATAGAAACCACACCTTTCAGCCCAAGCTCCCCTCTCACCAGTAAAGAAACGTTTTGCAGCTCTCCATTGTTTCAGGGCAGCAGCATGCTGATTACGTAACTGTGTTGTCACATTCTGAAACCGTTTCTCCTCATTGCTTACTTTCTTGTTGTACACATCTAATACTTGGCTCTATAGAACAAAGTAAAATCTTGTTTAATCTGGCTATATTTAATTAAAACAAATCAATAAGTGATATTTTTTATCTGTCTGTATTAAAGTGACATTTGGCAAAAACAGTTTTATTTACAGACTTTATCTAGAAATAAGACACCTGTTCAAACCTTGCATTAAAGGAAGTACATTTTGACATCAAAAAGACAAATTTACAACAACAATAGGGATAACTGTTCCTTCACAATAAATTTTAAGAAATAATCATGCTGGATACCATACCTGAAACTTAAGTTTACTCTCGCCGTGTTCACGGTTACGTCTATGCATGTTTATCATCATTTCTTGCTGACAATTGGACCAGAACTCCGCTATTTTATTTGTCAAGTCCATGAACACGTTCTCTGTAAAATGCTGCTTCTGAGGTTCAATCTGAGACAAAACACATTCAATAAAACAATATTATAATCAACCAGAAGAGGGTAAACTAATAGTCATAAATTAAGCTATAGCGGGTCAAAAAACCTAAATTAAACAAGAATTTGTAACAGAGTTATCAACATCCCCCGCCTCGGGCAATTTTTATATGAAGCATAAAATTGTGCTATTTCAAAAGATTGAGGTATGGATCTCAGGACTTTCAGTCCAAAATTATGATCAATGCTAGATCTGCAAATGCAACAATAAATTTATTAAAGAAATAAAATGAAACACGGAATTTAAAAATCTATCATGTTAAGCTTTGACCTCTAAGTGTGACCCTGACCTTGGAGGTAGGGAAGCAGGTGTTGTGCATGACATATCGTCTTATTATTGTAACTATTTGTGCCAAGTATTTTCAAAATCCTTGATCTGTGAAGAAGTTAAAGATCGGACACAAAATATACCCTTTAACAGACTATGTTAATCTTTGACCTCTAAGTGTGACCTTGGAGGTAGGGACCCATGTTTTGCGCCTGACATATCGTCTTATTATTGTGATTATTTGTGCAAAGTATTTTTAAAATCCCTTGATCTATGAAAAAGTTATGGAATGGACACAAAATATACCCTGTAACAGACTATGTAAATCTTTGACCTCTACGTGTGACCTTGACCTTGGAGGTAGGGACACATGTGCTACGCATGGCATATCATCTTATCATTGTAACTATTTATGCCAAGTATTTTCAAAATCCCTTGATCTATGAAGAAGTTATGGATGGGACACAAAATATACCATATAAGAGACTCAGACTGTTATCCTTCTACCTCTTAGTCTGACCTTGACCTTGGAGGTAGAGGTGCAGGTGTTGTACTTGACATATTGTCTTATGATTGTGAATATTTGTGCCTACTTATTTCAAAATCCGTAAGAAGTTCTAGATCGGACACAAAATATACCCTAAAACAGACTATGTTAACTTTTGACCTCTAAGTGTGATCTTGAACTTGGAGGTAGGGATGCAGGTTTGCTCATGACACATCGACTTATTATAGTGACTATTTGTTGCAAGTATTTACAAAATCCATTGATCTATGAAAAAGTTATGGACCGGACAAAACAATATACCCTGTGACAGACTATGTTAATCTTTGACCTCCAAGTGTGACCTTGACCTTGGAGGTAGTTGACCGGTTGTTGCGCATGACACATCATCTCAGTATTGTGAACAATTGTGGCAAGTATTTACAAAATCCCTTCAAAGATAAGAAAGTTATGGACCGGACACGACATATACCATCAAATAGACAATGTTGACCTTGAATGAGCAAGTGCGACCTTGACCCTGGAGGTAGGGGTCTTGTTGTTAGGCATGACACATCATCTCATTATTGTGAACAATTGTGGCAAGTATTTACAAAATCCCTTTACAGGGATCTTGAATGAGTAAGTGCGACTTTGACCCTGGATGTAGGGATCTTATTTTGCACATGACACATCGTCTTATTATAAAACATTTGTGCCAAGTTATTTCAGATTCCTTTGATAAATGACAAAGTTATGGAATGGACATGAAAGTGTGACGGACGGACGAACAGAGCCTATTTCTAAATTGCCCTTTCTTCTTCAAAAAGGCGGGGGAAAATAAATAATGTTTTCCTATGCAATGTACTTTATCGCTAATTTATAGGCTCAATGTTTCTGAAGAAAATACCATAGGGCCATGTTGACCCTATATTGCTAACCTGAGATTGTATAAATACATGTATGCAATGTAGTTGAACAGACATCATTTCATTACAGAAGCTCATTTTGTGCTCAGGTGAGCTAAGATTAAAGTATATACTATTAGTTACAAAGATACATTGTTACATTGCAAACCAGAGCTGCATCAGTACTAAGGGTGTAATACTTAAGTACCAGTACCAGTACTTGTCAAATTATGCAGTACCATTACAAGTACCAGTACTAGATTTTAGCTTGGTACTGCAGTACCAGTACTTTTTTTGGTGAAGTAATTAAGTATCAGTACCATTACTTTTATATATTCATCAAAGTTTGAATAAATACAGTGTCAAACAAATAATTGCAAATATTATTCAGCAAAGAAATAAAATCATAATTTACTTTAAAGTTAACATAACATTTTTACAACTTTATAGTTTTAACATACTTTTTACAAACAATATTTACAACATATATTCATGTCATATCTAATTGTTTAGTAACCAGTTAACTGTATTAATACAATGCAAACATCTTTCATTTAAAACACAACAGTCTTTTGTTGCCTTTCACACCTTCACACCTCTGTTCAATTTATACCAAAGTAAATTACAACTTTTATGGTGCTAACAATATCACTTTTTTCACTTGAAATGGGATTATTTGGAATAGAAGAAATAAATTAGTGTTTATTTTGCTCTTTTACTAGTAAATACAAAGTAATGAAAGATTTTAATAAGGATATTTTAGGGTAAAGAGTTATTGAGTCTGTTTATCTTAATTTAATTTTTACTTAAAGTCTTTGGTGCTTTTTTATGATGAATACTATGTTAACATTTGAAGGAATATTGCAGCAAATTATCTTTAGATTTGATAACTTACTTTTTCACAAAAATAAAATATAGTTAATGTAATTTACAGCTTTATTTTATGAGAAAAATTGATGCTATTTTTATCAAAACCAAAAGTACTGCCTAGTAATGCAGTAGCAGTACCACTTTTTAAGACAGTAATGCAGTACCAGTACCAGTAGTAGCAAAATTTTGTAAGAGTAATTCAGTATCAGTACCAGTACTTGCAAAATCGCTGCAGTACGTACAGCAGTACCAGTACCAGTAATGCAGCTCTGTTGCAAACAACTGCTTATATCCATTGGTCAAATAACTTGTCAGGAATCTTTATAAAGAATATTTATAATACAGCAAACATCCTTTCTTTAGAGAAAAACTTGAAAGTGGCCATGTATATAAAACTATATAAACATCATGATTATCCAATGAAAAGTGACGTTACAAAGCATGCAGTATTATAATCTTACATAATTCTCGATGAAGGTGGTCCACTCCTCTGTCTTACAGTACGTTTTGAAATCATCAAAGAAAGTTGGGCTCATCATTGTCGAAGGTAAGTTGGGCAAATTTAAATCGAGATTCAGAAGTTGGTAGGATTTATCAATCAACGCCTTCATAACAGGTATCAGGAAACTGTAGTTGTCCGTCTCATCTACAGATACAAATATTATGATGTAAATTTGAACATAAAACACTTCCGATACCTTCAAACCTCATTATCGGATACCCACAATTGATAAGCATGTCACATAACATGCAATCAACTGTGGGTAAAAGGTCTTTGATAACCTCTTATTGACTGAGTATCGGCAAATATTCCCACGGCTGATGAATGTTAATGGTTTGACCGTGGGTATCCAACAATGTCAAACCTATGCTCTATAGGTGCCTCTAATTCAACACATTATTTAAGTAAAACCTGTTGATAATTGCAATTTTAACTTTCAAAATAATAACTCACTAAATAACAAACCAAGCAGACCATGATCACATGTCATAAATAGGCTGGTTAATCTTGGTTTGCACTGGTCATGTAGATGACACCAGCTGGCTAAAGGTTCAATAACTAATTAAGATTAATCTACCAAAACAATAACAATAAAAAGCACTGGTACAGAAAATGAAAAACTCCTTCAGTATCTTTGAGAGTATGTGATAGCTCAAAAGATATGGTATATTTCGTATAAGATAGCAATAAATCACCTTTTCATTTGTTTGTTTTTTATGCTTATTTCAACTGATTTTTGCTAATTTCAAACAGGGCTGGCAAAATCTGATTTTGACTATTTTTGTCCATTTTTATCTGAAGTATTTCTTAACTTGTCTGTACGATATTTGTATAGTTAATTCTTGAAAATTTTCACTTGTCCATAAAGGCTGTGGGGCAACCTGGACAATATGGACAATTGATTTTGCCACCCTGTTCCTCAGTTGTAGGTCTGCCTAACCAGCTTTCCAGGATAACTTACCAGTAATTACCAATATAACTATCTACTCAAGAGATAAATCAACAACTTACCATCCACTGCCTTTACTATCACAATGTTTAGATGACCAATGAGGTAAGCCGCCTCAGCAGAACTAGAAATCAGTTTCGTCTGTACCAACATATGAAGTCTAGCTGTAGCACTGGCACATAGCTAGAGAGAAAATAAACATTATAACAACTTATGACTTATAATTTTTATGACTGCATAAAATATTGAGCACTGCCATATGTCTATATCTAAAAGTTATTATACACTAAAAGGTTGTTGGTATAACATGACAATGCAAATGAACAACATTGAAAAAGGGTAGTGCATACCTGAAACTAACTGTTGTTAAAAAAGTTTAAGACTTGTTAAAGACTTTGTCATGGGTTCCTCTCATGTAAGTTTTTGTTATAAAAAGTTGCCAAGGCTCACACATGACTAAGAAGTAGAATCCACTATTCTTTAAATAATAAGCATGGCTTTTAAACATAAAAGTTGTGACACAACAAGTTTTGAAGACATACCTCTAACTTGTTGTTTTGAGCAAAGGCCACTATCACACTTAAACCAAGATGAACCATTTCCTGCCAGCCTGCTCCACTTGGTACATCCCACACTGCTAAACTATCCAATAAACTCATTACATCTTCCAGTAACTGAAACAATGATTATAACAGTGTTTTAATATCAAGAATATTGAATGAGTGCGTGTTAAATACTTATGTTTTAAAACATAAATATTGAGGATATTGAATGTGTGTAGTAGGGTCAATACTTAGGTTATTGAACTTGTTGAATAAAACATTGATATTAAGGATACTGAATGAGTGTAGGGTCAATACTTAGGTTATTGAACTTGTTGAATAAAACATTGATATTAAGGATACTGAATGAGTGTAGGGTCAATACTTAGGTTATTGAACTTGTTGAATAAACATTGATATTAAGGATACTGAATGAGTGTAGGGTCAATACTTAGGTTATTGAACTTGTTGAATAAAAACATTGATATTAAGGATACTGAATGAGTGTAGGGTCAATACTTAGGTTATTGAACTTGTTGAATAAAACATTGATATTAAGGATACTGAATGAGTGTAGGGTCAATACTTAGGTTATTGAACTTGTTGAATAAAACATTGATATTAAGGATACTGAATGAGTGTAGGGTCAATACTTAGGTTATTGAACTTGTTGAATAAAACATTGATATTAAGGATACTGAATGAGTGTAGGGTCAATACTTAGGTTATTGAACTTGTTGAATAAAACATTGATATTAAGGATACTGAATGAGTGTAGGGTCAATACTTAGGTTATTGAACTTGTTGAATAAAACATTGATATTAAGGATACTGAATGAGTGTAGGGTCAATACTTAGGTTATTGAACTTGTTGAATAAAACATTGATATTAAGGATACTGAATGAGTGTAGGGTCAATACTTAGGTTATTGAACTTGTTGAATAAAACATTGATATTAAGGATACTGAATGAGTGTAGGGTCAATACTTAGGTTATTGAACTTGTTGAATAAAACATAAATATCTAGGATATTGAATAAGTGTAGATTCAATACTAAAGATATTGAACTTGTTTATTTAAACATAAATATTGAGAAAATTGAATGAGTGTAGGTTCAATACTTATTTATTGAACTTGTTGAATAAAACATAAAATATTTATGATATTGAAAATGAAAAGTTTTAATACTTATGTTATTGAACTTGTTGATTAAAACATAAAATATTGAGGATAATGAATGAGTGTAGAAGGTTCAATACTTAAGTTATTGAACTTAATGAACAATAAATATTGAGGACATTGAAGGAGTGTAGGTTCAATACTTAAATCATTGAGATGGTTGAATAAAACATATGGAGGATATTGAATGTGAGTGTATGTTCAATACTTAAGTTATTGAACTTGTTGATTAAAATATAAATATTGAGGATATTGAATGAGTGCAGGTACAATAGTAAAGTTATTGAGATGGTTGAATAAAACAGTAATATCGAGGAAATTGGAAGTGTGTAGGTTCAAAACTTATGTTGTTAAAACTTATTTGTTGGATAAAACATACATAAAGAGGATATTGAATAAGTGTAATTTTAATACTGAAGTTATTGAACTTGTTGATTAAAATATAAATATTCAGGATATTGAATGAGCATATAGTCATTGTCATTATACTTATGTTATTGAACTTGTTGATAAAAACATATATATATATTGAGGATATTGAATAAGTGTATGTTCAATTACGCTATGTTTATTCAACAAAAATTATGTCATGTTGCCTTGTTACTACACTCATGTAACATTGTTTTTTTTGGTATCGCTTTATGACACTTCTGCATCATAATTTACATGATAAAATTGGAACTTTCTGACATTACTACACAAATAACACTAATTTGTTCATATTTCAAAAATATTACTTATTTTCTAATCATTTATCTCTATGGATAAAAGCAACAACAGGACTTTTTTTATAATTTTACCACAACACGTATATTGTCTGTCTACCTACCATTTCACTGTACATCTGTCCATCCATGCTGGCCTCATTCTTAAAGAGAGAGTATCTGACCAGCCGTACCAGCTCAATAGCATTCTCCATATACGACTGTGATGAGTGACCTGTCAATATGAGAAGTAAATTGTAATGTGTTTGAATGAACATTATAATGTTTCCATAATAATAATTACTGTAAGAAGAACATTTATCGTTTCATATAACATGATTAGGCCATTCATAAAATCATTTATAATATTTCTATGAATTGACAAAGATTATAAAATTATATAATATAATATTTTCATTTCATGATTAGGCTGTTCATAAAACAAAAAATATTTTATGGAGAGATTGATGGTCTTTAGATAAACATGTATACTTCTCAAACCAGGAAATTAAAGAAACAAGAGGGCCAAGATTGCTTAGCATCCTGACAAAGTTTGATGATGATTGAGGCAAAAATGTGACTACTAGAGTGTTTATGAACAAATGTGGGAGGTTGACAGACGACGGACGATGTCCAAAAGACATTCAACGATCCTAAAAGCTCACCCTGAGCTAAAAAGCAAAATAGATAATAACAAAATATGCAAAGGTGGATGGTTAACTCTTTGAACCATTAAGATGGCTGGCTTTTTCAAGTCTTAAATAATCAAATGTAATATTCTTGCCAGCATCTTTGATGTCTGTGGTACAAGCATGTAACATCATCTCTAACAATCGTCTCTTTAACTCGGCTACTGGACACATCAGCTCATTGGTCTGACTGATATGGTCAAGCCATGCAAACACCTGACCTCTCTCCTTTAATACAGAAATAATGAGGTCATTTTAGACTAAAGTATTATGAAAACATCAAAATTTGAGAACTTTAGATTTCTTTCTCTTTTTCAATTTTTTAAATTATGTTGCTTGTTATGTTGATGAAAACGAAAGTAGAAAATGGGGGCTCTATTTACAGTTAGCCAATATCTTGGTGTTTCTTATAAAATTGTAATTTTCTGTACCGTAAACTTCATTGGGTCTAAAAAAATGAGTTCCTTAAAAGCAATAATTCCTTATAACCATGTTCGCTATAATCATAATTTTTAAATTACATAAAGGGCAAAATTTGGGCCAACAAAAACTGTTCCTTATAAACTTAAGTTTGCTATAACCATGTCCACTATAAGTGAAGTTTACTGCATTAAAAGCATATCTTACAATAAAGTACATAAGAACATTTATATTCACCTTCCATGCAGCTTCATCCGAGCCTTCTACACCCTTCCACATTACTGTATACAATATAATCAGCAGATTCTGACACAACTCTTCCGAGTTCTCTACCACGTCCATCAGAAAACTCCCTCGTAGTCCTAGACTATTCAACATCCTGTGAGTGTTATTCTGATGCCAAGATGATGACAGCGAATCCCGCCTCATTTCCACCTCTTCCGCTAAATCTATCCCACTTTCACTTTGCGAGAGTTGTGATATTGACGATGAACTTACATCTTTTTGAAGCGATTTTCGTTCTGCGGCTCTTTGAGCAATGGTGCTTAAATCTTCCGCGCTAGCGCTTGAACTCCGACTCATTGGCTGAATATAGTCATCGGGACCAGAGGCTCCGAGATCTCCGAAAAGTTGAGATTTTAGATAGAGAGGGGTCGACGGTGTATTTAGAGAAGATGAGAAGAACTCTACACTTTCTTTATGAGTTGCATCACCTCCGGGGCTTAAATTCAGATGTGTTGGAGGGGACGGTTTTTGAACACTTAATTCCTTACTACTATCACAATTTCCGTTATCACTCTTTTGATCAATTTCACTATCACAGTTATGGCCGTTAACAATATCTGAGGACGTAGCCTCATTCTGAACACAGTCGTTTGGGGATATTGCACTTATACCTTGAGGAGAACCATAATCTCTTAACAAAGGACTTGTCTCTGCATTCTGCTCAGAATCGTCTCCCTTTGAACAGGTTTCATCAGAGTCGCCCCCCTTTGTTCTATTTTCATCACAGTCTGCCTGTTTCTCCATGGTTATATCACAGTCAAACACGTCAAGGTCACTTGTTTCCATGGAAATAGGGTGGAGAATAAAAAGTTTAGAAAGGGCTTCCTGCCATCCTAACTGTTTGGCGAAACTTTTGGCACCACCGTTTTTTGACACTAATATTGACAGAATTTGGCGACTAGCTTCTAGTTTAATATCAAATCCACTAGTATATATCAACTGTAATACAGCTAATACAGCATTGTAACTCTGGGGGTTATCTGAAATAAAGAGGAAAATGCAAAAAGTTTTTCATTATTTTTTTTTTCATTTCACATCTACACTATAAAGGTCAAATGGTGACTTTCCAGTTTCACTGCCGAACGAAGACCTGAGGTGCCCATCCAGGCATTATTTCAGGCACCTCAGTAGAACCACCAACCTAGGGTTAGCTAATTTGATTATGCCTCTTCTCATGAAATCCAAAGTCCCTGGTGAGATTCAAACCTACAGCAGTGAAGGGCAAGTGATTGGAAGTCAGCATCCTTAACCACTCTGCCATGGATGCCCATGTAAAATACCTATTGCCTTAGCTAATTTCAAACAACTGTCACATATATGTATATATTCATGTAGAAGACCTAAAAATTGATATGGATATTGTATAATTATATGTATGGTTTATGACAAACTATCAAAAATTTCATATTTTTCTTCCTTCTGCAATGCTCTTACCTACAACTGTTACTTGTTCTAGAAATCTTTGGATAGTCGGTCCAGACACCTCAAACCCCTGTATCAGACCAATCAGCCCGAGGTATCCGCAATCTGTCAGTCTTAACCTGGTTTTGCTTTTCTCATAAACTCGATCAGTTTTCAGAAGTATGTAGAGCACCTGAATGATAAATCAACAGAATTTATTGACAAAGCTGAAAGTATTACCCATCAATTGTACTTGTCATGCATGCAAGGGATAATGAAAATTAAAATTGAAACAGTGTTCAACTAAGGAAACTGAAGTTTAAAAAATGTTAAAACAGTATGTCCAGCTAGTTTCTTTACATCTTTAATCCAGAAATAGCAATATTTGGCCTTGATGGCAAATTATAATTATATATTTACATTGTAAACCTAATGTCAAGTTATCATGCTTTTATACCTTATGTCAATTTCTCATCATGTGTTTGTACCTTATGTCAAATTATTATGTTACATTTGTAACCTGATGCCAAATTATCATGTAAAATTTGTACCTAATGCCAAATTATCATGATAAATTTGTACCTTTTGCCAAAGTACCATAATACATTTGTACCTTATGTAAAACTACCATACACATTTGTACCTGATATCAAATTATCACGATACATTTGTATCTTATGTCAAATTCTCATAATGCATTTGTACCCTTTGCCAAATTATCATGATAAATTTGTACTTGATGTCAAATTATCATAATACATTTGTACCTAATGTCAAATTATCATAATACATTAGTTCTAGATGCCAAATTATCATAATGCATTTGTACCTGATGTCAAATTATCATAATACATTTGTATCTTATGTCAAATTATCATAATATAGTTGTACCATATGTAAAATTAACCCTGATGACAAATTATCACAATACATTCATACCTTAACAATTTTCTCATAGTAAATGATGGTGAAGCCCTTGATAGTGAGAAGACCGTACAACATCTCTCCAATATGAGGTTCAAACATCAACAGATAAATCTGGTCTTGTTTTCTACCCCCATCCAGCAGGGATATTAAAATATCCAACGCTTCACAGATCTGAAATATAACAAGATTGTCCATGTCACCAATGAATGCTCCCACAATGTATTGTTCCATTAAACTCATCAATTCATTTCAGAAAATCAGACTCAGCCCCTTTATGTCAACTTTAAAGAATTTTAAAGTTAAGTTAAATTCTTGGCAGAAAAAGTTGTAGCAACACTTATTAGAGGGGAGTGACTAAATGGGCGTTTACAGTAAATGCATAATGGTTCAAAGTGCCCAGGAGAGGTAAAATAATCAAACAAATATAAGTTTTACCAAACTTTCTTCCTTGCAGCCCATCATAAAGTGAAGTATTGCTGACAGTTCATCTATGGTAATATCTTTGGCAATATAATATTTGATCAGACTAAGTAAAGATACCCTGATCGTCCTAGCATCCTCCTCAGATAATGTACAATCATTACTGTAACAAAAATCAATACAATCTTATCATTGCTGTAACAACTAGAACTGTGTCCAAAGGACACGGATGCCCCCACTGACAACATATATATGGTATATAGTGAAAAAATCAACAAAGGGCCATAATTCTGTTAAATTTGGTCACAGCAAATATTCCTTCCTTTACTACCATCTACACATTAAGGTTATTCATCCCAGGAAGTTTAAGCAAAATCTGCCAACAAGTTTAAGAGGAGTTGCGTTGCGTTCAAAAAATTTCTATATGGTATATAGTGAAAAAATCAACAAAGGGCCATAATTCTGTTAAATTTGGTCGCACCGAAAATTCCTTCCTTTACTACCATCTATACCTTAAGGTTGTTCATCCCAGGAAGTTTAAGCAAAATCTGCCATCCGGTTTAAGAGGAGTTGCGTTCACAAAATTTCTACATAGTATACAGTGAAAAAATCAACAAAGGGCCATAATTCTGTTAAATTTGGCCGCAGCAAAAATTCCTTCCTTTACTACCATCTACACATGAAAGTTGTTCATCCCAGGAAGTTTAAGCAAAATCTGCCATCCGGTTAAAGAGGAGTTGCGTTCACAAAATTTCTACATAGTATATAGTGAACAAGAGCGATCAGTAATCACATGTGTCGCCTCATGATGGCCAATTTCATGTTGGGACAAATTTTGTGACAGACGGACAGACAGACGGACAGTGCACAACTAGACTTGGTATTGATCATTCCTGTAAAGTTTGGATAAAATTGCACCAGTAGTTTATGAGGAGTAGTCCGGACAAGCTTTTGTGTATCTGGCAACACACAGAAAAAAAACACCTTTTTATCAAAGGGCCATAACTCGGCCAAAAATCATTCAACCGGAAAACCCATGCAATCTGCGCAAGGACTTGAGCTACAGATCAATCCTGTAAAGTTTCATTGAAATTGCATTAGTGGTATAATAGAAGTAGTCCGGACAAACTTTAAAAATAAAAATTATTAAAGGGCCATAACTCTGACAAAAATCATTGAACCGGAAAATGCTGACAATATGCACAACTAGACTTGGTACTGATCATTCCTGTAAAGTTTGGATGAAATTGCACAAGTAGTTTATGAGGAGTAGTCCGGACAAGCTTTTGTGTATCTGGCAACACACAGAAAAAAACACCTTTTTATCAAAGGGCCATAACTCAGCCAAAAATCATTCAACCGGAAAACCCGTGCAATATGCGCAAGGACTTGAGCTACAGATCAATCCTGTAAAGTTTCATTGAAATTGCATTAGTGGTATAAGAGAAGTAGTCCGGACAAACTTTAAAATTAAAAATTATTAAAGGGCCATAACTCTGACAAAAATCATTGAACCGGAAAATGCTGACAATATGCACAACTAGACTTGGTACTGATCATTCCTGTAAAGTTTGGATGAAATTGCACCAGTAGTTTATGAGGAGTAGTCCGGACAAGTTTTGTGACGGACAGACAGACAGACAGACAGACGGACAGACAGACGACGGAGAAGTGATCCCTGTATGTCGCCACTACTCCGTAGAGGCGACACAAAAAAATCAACAAAGGGCCATAATTCTGTTAAATTTGGTCGCAGCAAAAATTCCTTCCTTTACTACCATCTATCTACACATTAAGGTTGTTCATCCCAGGAAGTTTAAGCAAAATCTGCCATCCGGTTTAAGAGGAGTTGCGTTCACAAAATTTCTACATAGTATATAGTGAAAAAATCAACAAAGGGCCATAATTCTGTTAAATTTGGTCGCAGCAAAAATTCCTTCCTTCACTACCATCTACACATTAAGGTTGTTCATCCCTGGAAGTTTAAGCAAAATCTGCCAGCCGGTTTAAGAGGAGTTGCGTTCACAAGATTTCAGGACGGACGGACGGACATACCAAAATTTGATGTTTATGAGGCAAATGAGCTCATAAACACCACCTGGACCAACGTCCATAAGCAAAATAAGCTCATAAAAACAAATAATAGCTCTTAATTTTAAATTTTATGAGTTTATGTTCTTTATTTAACTACGGAATGAAGCTCATAATAATAAAATGTTGGCTCGGACGGACAGACGTACGGACGGACGGACAAGTGCAACGCTATATGCTCCCACATTGTGGGGGCATAAAAATAAATACAATCTTATGAAAATCAACATTTACTTTCAACAGAATATGCGCAAGAAGACTATACAGGGTTCACACAGACATTCAATACTGAAAATTCAAACAATTTTTAAAGTACTGGGACCTGTCCTTCGGATCTACTTTTTGTTTTCAATACCTTGTTTACACCCGATTTCATTCATCAAAATGTTTCTTTTCCAACCAAATTTCAGAAAGACTTAACAAACTTTTGAGATTTTCTTTCAAAACGACCAAATGTAAAGACAAGACAAAAGTATAAAACAGAAATTAATGCATCAATTTGGTTAAAGCTCAAGGACTTAAATTCATGTTTTTATTGAAACTGATATATTTGGGGGACTGATATTGGTCTGTACTGGGTGCTTGGTTAGAATATGATGCCACCAGCAGGTTATGTGTTATAGGCCCATACTGTGACCTATCAATATCTTTAAAGGCCCATACTGTAATCTATTAATATCTTTAAAGGCCTACCATGTGACTTATCAATACCTTTAAAGGCACATAATGTGACTTATCAATACCTTTAAATGCCCATAATGTGACTTATAAATATCTTTTTTAGACCCGCACTGTGACTTATCAATACCTTTAAATGCCCATAATGTGACTTATCAATACCTTTAAAGGCCCATACTGTGACTTATAAATATCTTTTTTATACCCACACTGTGACTTATCAATATCTTTAAAGCTCCATACTGTGACCAATTGATATCTTTAAAGGCCCATACCTGTAGTGTGATCTGATAACATCAAGTATATACTGCACACCAAACATCTTCCTAAAATGTCTCCTGTCATCCTTGATTATTGTAGACAAGTATTGTATATGACCTGAAACAATTAAGTAATATTATATAATTCTGCATCCAGTATCCTATATTTGATATCCTATATTGGATGGTTGAATGCTTCTGGCATATTTCATGTACAGACAAGAATAAAAGCTGAAAGTACTTAAATGACTTTTGTAAAGAGCTTTATAGCATTTTGCTAATTTAAAACTCACTCAACATTTCTTATGAGAATATATTTTTTCAGTAAGCTCAATATAAGCTGAGTACAATAAAGGTTTTTGCAGTTGTGTATAGGTCTCTTCATTTCACAACAGCAATTTGACAGAGTTTTGTTAAATGACAGCAGAGTTACTAAGTAACTAAGTAAAATATGTTTTTGAACTACAAAATGAAAGACAGCCTAGATAGAGTACGATATGGATTTGATATGCATCTTTTGGACTTGGAAAATTAAAAGGAAGCTAGATATGCCTTGATATGGATTTTCTGGACCCAAACAATGAAAAGCAGGCTAAACTAATTATAGTGGATCTAATCAGGATAATATTGGGAGATCATTAAGTGTATAGGCTTAAAGTTCATTGGTTGCATTTTATAAGCTGTGAAGTAAAATAAGTTATAACATAAACTAAAATACCTATTCTGACAGGGAAGTCACTACGGCTCCAGATTCTAAAGTCAAACAGTATATACTGGTACATATGGAGGAGCATTGTTCTGTTGGTGGATGCAGTGGCTTCTACCAAAAGCTGTACAGCCATTAGTACATTTACATCTACTAGCTTTGAGTTCACCTGAAGTAAATATTTCTGTTAATTTTGTGTTCAACATGTTTTCTTACAACTTTACATCATGATTCAGACTTTCAAAATTATATATTTCTACATTATTTAAATTGTCAAGTGTATACAAGTAATTTTTCAAACATTTACTAATTATTTAACTTTCAAAAATTTACTTTCAAATATTTATTTTTTCATTTACCATATTTTCAAACATTTTCAATCTTTTCAAACATTTACTGGTCGAGGACCATCAACCAGACACTTTTTGAACATTTTTCTATACAGATTTCATAATTTCAAACCTAGAGACCTGAAAATTTGACTCATTACAGCTAGGTTCTCCTCCTAACTAACAAACTAGTTTGTTTATTTCTGATTATATTGACACTTTTATCTGAGGCCTGTCATCAAAATTACCTAAATTGTCTACACTACAGTACCATGTGTCCTTACAGATATGTACATGACATGATTTAATTCAGATAAAAGCTTGAGTGTTTAATCTTTTTATTTTTAGCATGATATACAATATATCAGCAGCAAATGCTGATGTTTTGGATATTCTTTCTTTTAACTCTGCAAATGATAGAAGGTGGTATATGAGGTCAGGTATTGCACTCTTGATGCCCCAATTTTCAGCATCAACATTCTTGAAATAGACACTAAAATATTACCGTTGAAATAAATCTTATTAATCATAGAAGAAACATGCATGTTGATAATAAAGTTACTGATAGATCGAAAACCAATGAATAAAAGAAAAAAACCACTAAGTTAAACATTTTCGGGGCCGTCCGGGTTTGATGGTTGTCCTGTTTTGGTGGTCTCCAACCAGTACTATCTTTTAAAACATTTACAACTGTTTCAAATATCAACCATCTTTATAAAAGTTATTACATTTACAATCTTATCAAACATCAACTAACAGTATGAATGGTTAGAAATACTGCAAAAATTTACATCTTTATAACTTATCAAAAACAGCTTACAGACAAAGTGATACAATAAAAGTGTATAGTTCCTACCTTTTGTAACAAAGCCCCAATGACAGCTGCACCATTTGTTTGTATAAACGTTTGCTGATTTACCGGTTTTGTTTGTACCATGTTACGTAACAATGTCAAGAAACCGGCCACTTGGTTCTGTTCCAACTTAGTATCTGAAAACAATTAACAAAATAATCTTAGAAATAGCCTTTAACAATCAAAAGTATTGTAGAATAGAAATTGATATTGTTACTAAGTTAATCAACCGTTTCAAGTTTCAAGATAGTTCTAAGTTAAGTAAAATATTGAATACAAAAATCATGAAAAACCTGTATTGGACCTTACATAGTGGAGCCAATCATTCTTGCAGCAGGTAAACATACATACCTAACCTTTGTGTTTGGGTATGTTTGGGCATGGCCTATTTAGGTGTTATAATAATTTGTGTAGGCCAGTATGTATGGCCATGGTCAATTTAGTTGTTGTGATAAAGTGAGTAGGAAAATATGTATGGCCATGTCCTATTTAGGTGTTATTATAATTTGAGTAGGCAATTATGTGTGGCCATGGTCAATTTAGGTGTTATCATAATGCGAGTAGGCAAATATGCATGGCCATGGACTATTTAGGCATTATCATAATTTGTGTAGGCAAATATGTATGACAATGGCTGATTTAGACGTTATCTGTGTTAAGACTATCCTTTTCATGCTGACTTTTTATCCATGGCAGAAATTACTTTTTTGTTGCAATAAAGGAAGTGGTACAAAATAAGACCTTTAATTCTTCTCTTCCATATAGCCCTTATATTATAATTAAGACTGTATTGATGAAAAATTTGAACCAGTACTGTACCTGCGTATGAACTACTGGGCACAACAACCCAATCTTCCTGGTCTGTGGTCTTGTTGAGGCTGGCAAGAGATTTGAACTCAGGACTGCTAATCTCTGGAGGTGAAGGAAGTCTGTTTACTTGCTCTAGCAGAGGAAAAAGCACTTGGATACCACCTGTACAGTTAATAACATCCTGTAAAAATAATAGAAACCAAACTTATCTACAATTTCATTTTCTTCTTTTAATTTGGGTTTCAAGTCAAAGCAATTACCAAAAGCTTGTATGGCAAAAATCCAGTGATATACATGGTGATGGACAAACTCAAGGCATGTAAGACAACCTTATGCTAGCTGCAACATATGAACAAATCTTTAAGAAACTGCCAGAATTTAAGCCCACTGCAATGAAACTGCAATCGGTCCCAAAAAGTAAACCACAATAACTACTTGGCCATAGAGCATAATTCAAAGTAAGTCTTGGATAAATATAAATACATTAAAAATTTAATAGCATTTTAACTCCAAAATGCTAAAATGCTTCCTTCTGCTTTGATTTTCAAATTTTACACATATGCTATGGTAAGCTATATTTCTTACACAATCAAAGTGACTATAAGAGAAACTCAACAACTTATCACCATTAAGTATAGGAAATTTGACATTTTATATTGTTTAATATGAGCTAACGTCCATCTCTAACTTTACATACACCTGATTTCACAGGAGATAAAATAACGTTACCTTAATATCCCAGGTAACACATTTCTGGCCCAATAATTGACCGTGATTCTGACAAGATGAGAGATCCATGATATGTGAATTTCTGCAGGCCTGTAATTAATACAATTCATGTTTTACAAATGATTTAAGAAATTTGAAACATGTTGTAAAAGTGGTGGCAATATCCTTTCAAGACTCAAATATTTAAGCTCGAAATATCTGTTTTTCAATAATGTCTGAAGAAAATATAATCTAGATTAATACAATTTACTGATTTTAACCTAGAAATATCTGTTTTTCAACAATGTCTGAAGAAAATAACATTTACTTAATGCAATGTAATGTACTTGTCTTAGAAACTATATTTTCAAAGTTGAGGTAGAAAAAAAAGAAAGAAATATGTTTTAGCAAATTTTGAATAAGATTTACGCTCAAGTCCTGCACGGTCATATATGGGATATTGGAACTAATTACATTATGTCAACAGCTTGAGTATTACATACATCACTTGCATATCTTTAAGCATCATGCTTTAGTAAACACAATGCTCTGTTCAAAATCCAGTATTTTGAAAATTTGACCTTGAACGTCATTTAAAAGTCAAGGTCATATTCTAATATATGAAATGAATCCTTTTTTACAATTATGTCCAAGATAAGAATTGTCCACATGAAGAAACTTCAAAAATTGTATGCTCGATGATCTGTCTCTGACGAGGTCATAAAAATTACAAAGACATACCCTTGCATTATAGTATAGCACCATTTTCCCTGGCAAGTCCAACAGCTCACTATCCTCGTTAAACACCGTCAAATTATTCGGTCCCGCTGTGTATAATCTCTTCACCTGATTGGCTGAAACAGCATCGTGATATATACACACGGACCCGATCTGACCGTTTAATGGGATTGGAATTCCGTGAGTATCGTCCTGAGACCCTGTCGGAATTGAATCGACTCCGGGAACGCTACCGTTGGACTTCACTGCGTGTTGTAGGAAAGACTTCAAGGGTGATGTTTTCTTGTTATCTACTGTTGAGTTAAGATGAGTATCATTGTGCCAGGAGTCGGACTGACTTTGCCATACCATACAGCCAACACGGCAAGAGGTGAGCGCCTGAAAAAATTTTCATACGAAATTGTAAACATTGCCCACACACAACTTGAGTGATACTGTAAAACAGGTTTCATTGGTGAAGGTTTAATTTTCACTAATATTCAGGTAATTTCAATACAAAATAATCTTTTATCAATTTAAAGGATTTTAACATTTGGCCTGCTGGTGGCTTTCTAATATACATGTATACATATGACAAGTTCTGACCAAGACCATGGTCTGTACTATTCTCCGTTCAGCCAGAACATTTTTTTTTTTCTCCATTTTCCCTTAACTAAATGAATGGTCTTGTCCACAGTCATTAATTGTAAGATGGACAAGTCCATTTCTAATATCTAACATGACTTGAATAGCTCAACTTCAACAGCTAGTATAAAGTCTGGTAAGATTAATAGGCAGATTTCCTGACTGTTTCACATCAGAAGATTCAAATGTGCGATGGTTTTTTTTCTCATAAAAGTTGGTTATATCTTTGGTTATTTTGACACCATAAGGACAGCAGGTCATCACAAAAGGTCAACTTTGAGCACTACGTGGTCTGATGAGCTGATATAATAACTGAAGATTGTAAAATTACCTCACTCATGTTAGGGTACTTGAGTTGAGAGTTGTGTTTCTGTTTACCATCTACGTATACATAAAGCTGACTGGCAACAAAAGGTCGCTTAGAGTTGGTGTGCACTACACAAACGTCATGCTGAAAATTTCACATGGTTATTGTAGAGCTGTCATTGATTCAGTGTAAAGCATAATGAGGATATATCAATATCCATTACATTTAATAAAGAAAAATGTTGTAGTTATCGATAATTACAACAGTTTTCTTTATTAAATGATTAACAAACATTTTTCATGTTACATTTTCTTAGATAGGTCTTAAGAAGAAATATCACTTTAAGTTTGTTGGATTTTTTTATCTTTATTTAACCCTCACAAAGCTAAATTTGCATTATAACAGACTTGGCATTGCTTTCAATTTGGTACTGTCCATTTATATTTTAATGTAATCTTAGGATTGCTGGCCAACTGGGTGTAAGACCTGATTATCGCCCAGAGTAAAAATTTACACTCATTGCTTAGTACTGGTTGATTCCAGAATTGATTTCAGAATGTGTCTATAAGCTTTTAGCTGCCTGCATTTGAACTTAAATTTTTTTATCAACGAATATCTATCAAAAATTAAGCAATAACAGTAAAAACTCTGATATGACTTAACAACAATACTGAACATTCAACTGTAATTTTAACAAGATACCTTGACCTTTTCACAAATTGAGATCCACTAAAAATGAAAATTATTGTTGTTATAAAGACAATGTAGAATTCAAAGACATCACCTCCCTTGACATAGAAACTACCGTTTAATTAATGCTAGAACATACTTTATAAATTTCTAGATAATATTAATGTCTAACAATATTATTAACTTTTCAATAATCTGGATTTCAAAAGAGCATATTTACCCAATGACCATCTTGTAGATCCACATCAGGAACAGTAACTCCATTATAATCTTTTTTACTAAACACAGCAATAGTGAGCTCCCCTGAATCACTCACAAAACATTCAAAACCACAACCAGAATTTGATAAGAAACTGAAAGTAGATTTAAAGATAATTTTGTTAAGGTAGCAATATTAATTTGACTTTATAATCTGGTCATTTTGAAAAATGAAAATATTTGTGGTCAGTGTAATTCAAAGAAATAAGTGTTTGTGGTGATTATTTTCATCAAAACACAGCCAATTGTCATTTATGGATACTTAAGAAAGCAAACTTATACTTGATACTTGCTTTTATCTTTTGTTCTGCAAAAATGTTATTATCCTACATGAATGATAAGTACAAAAACACAAATGATAAAACTAAGAACTTAGGCAGCAGTGGTCAAGAGATACCACAGATGTTTGGGGATTAACCATCCTAGAATCGAGACCTAAACAATAATGTAGGCTGCAGTAATAGGACAGATGGACTCCCTAGCTTGATCAATACCTGTTTATGTTTTTTTTTAAATAGCCTAAAGACACATCTAGGAGAAAAGGTGAAAAGTTGGTAACATGAACATATTGCAAAACATTTATTATGACACACCTTTCCTTTTTCTATCATGTATGAAGTTTGTATACTTATTTGTCTGGTTTTAGGCAAATTCAACACGGTTTTTATTTTATCATATCTTTGTGGTTAGTCCACCTAACCGGCTTTCCTTGATAACAACCAGTAATTACCAATTTTTCAGCAAGTGACCAACTACTTATTATACACAAATTGTGAATCAGCACTGAGAGGCAAATGACAATTAGAGTCAAAGTGCAAGATCAGCTGTCACAGAGAAATTTGTACTGCCTGGGGAATTGAACCGGGAAACCCTTTGGTTTAATTCTAAAACCCCTTAATTTGGGCAGGGAAAGAAAATAAAGTTTATTTTTTCTTTACCTATAAAAAATCCTCCTGAAAGGTTTTTGAGGCAGGGTTTTAATTTTTGGAAAATTTAAACACAAACCATGTAGTGGAATGAAGAACCCGCCGCCCCTGGCCATTTTCCTGATCCCAATTGCCAACTTTGAATACCCTGAAACAAAAAATAAAACACTGAAAATACAAACTAATCCTTCTTTTTTCGTTGACCCTTTTAAACTTTATTTTAACACAGAGTAGTTCAAAATGTTAATGTTTATGAACCATGTTGAGAAAATAAACAGAAATGACCCTCTATGCTTTATCATTTAAAGCAAAGGTAGCTCAATTTCAGGGCCAAAAACAATGTTGGTAGACCCTATAAAATGGTTGGACCCCTGAATGACCCGGAAGGACCCCTAAACAAAAGATATGGTACATTAATATTTTATACTTAACAATTTGCAGACCCAACAATTGGTAGAAATGGTTGTCTCAACAATTGGTAGATCGAATAATTGGGAGACCCAATAATTGGTAGATGCAACAAAACGGTATATGCAGAATAGTCTGGTTTGATCATCTAAAGATATCTATAAACAATATGGTCAAAATGCTACACTTTCTATAACTTACATCTGTTGGGTCTTGAATATTAAAGAAATGGAGAGCACCCTCTTTTCCCTCTCGTCTGGCCATGGTAGACATTGCACGCATTAGTCTACTACAGTATGTGTTCTGAAAAAGAAATATAACATGATCTCATCAAAATTAATGAGATAATTCACAATGGTTTCCTTAATTTCTAGCCTCAGTTATCATTTTACATGCTTTAACACTTTCCACGCTAAAATTGTGAAATGGATTTGTCCTGCTTTGAATTTGGAACTTCACATTAGTAGAATAAGAGATTTAAATGTCAAAATATCAATTATGAGGAAACATTTTATTCTGAACAGACTGCACAGATTTTAAGGCAGAACTGGCCCTATTGGAATTACTTGCTCTTCACCACTTTAGATTTAAATCCTGTCTTTGGATTCTTTCATGTGAAGAAGTTATCTAACTAGCTAACCAAAGTCGATACTTCTACTAATGTGCAAGCATGATGGGGCACCTGAGGTTTTCATCCAGCAGTGAAGCTGGGAGGTTGCCACATGGGTTCTACAGTGGTGTAACTTAAATCCAACAAACAAGACTGGTCCTATACTGGTGATGAAGGTCTACTTTTCCAAAGTGCTACCACAAAAACATGCATCTTAGGGGTTTAACACAGTCTCTCCCAAATCAATTCTTTTTAATATATTTAAACTATATTTTTACGGGTGCCTAAAATTTTAGTAGTTCACAATCAAATTCCAAAAATCCATAGCGGGATTTCAATTCAATATTTGTAAAATAATGTGAGATTACAATGCTTCATACAGATAGATCAACTGATCCATTCAGATTTAAGTTAATGAACCTAAACAGGAGAAGCTATAAAAATTTGGAAGTAATAGTTAGAAATTGTTACTACTGTAGATACCTGCTTTTCTTCATCATCTAGTCTGAGTAGTCCAATCAACTGTTTAAGTTCTATGGCTGTAATTGATTGGGTCCCAAGAGATTCTAATAGACCAATCAAATGACCTGTAACATAAGAATAACAATGTTTATAAGTGCCAGGATATTGTAAATGACTAATCAAATGATGTGTTTCATAAAGGGCAAGGAGTTTCCAAAACAAAGAGGTTAAGGTTGAGAGGAAGCTATTTAGCTTGCTTACGGAATGTCAGTGTTTTACTTGTGGTTAAACTGACTTGTAAAGATACACAAATGGGTACCTGAGGTCTTCCTTTAATAATAAATCTGGAAACTCGCCACAAGATCTTTTCAATGTCTGTTGACTTAAAACTAAATAAGAAGTGTGTCCATAAGACACAGATGCTCCAACATTCCAGTGTTTTGTCAATATACTTATGGACAGTTTGACAGCAGGATAGACAAGTGCAAATCTATCGGCCCCACTCCCTTTGCCTTGGAAATGGTGGTATAACAAAACAAACCTGATAGAAGTCATGAGCATCTTTAAAAAACAATATTTTTTATGTACTTAATTATTAAAATTGATTTATATGTATGCATTTCATACAATTTCACTTACTGACTGCTGCAGGGTTAATCTGTTTCTCTCGCCCTAATACACACAAAATGGCAACAATCATCCCATTATTACAACAATTCATCTTGTTATTATGATTGGAGCTACACAACTGTCGTAAATGTTCCGCCAGCCATATCTGTAGGTCATGTGACTGAATGTCAGGCAGCCATTGGATGAGCATGATTGCAGCATGGGTGTTATGTATATTATATGTACAGTTCTCCTCATAATCTCCTTCAACAACCTGTGAAAAAAGTTAAGTGAAAATATGTTGATCCATACTTGTGAAACAGTTAAAAACGCAGAAAACCTGTGAAGAAGTTGAGATACATAGAATGGTGACAACCTGTGAAAAATTTAAGTGAAAATATGCACAAAAGAGAAAAACTTTAAAAAAGTAAAGTGATATATGCTTGCAACATGTGGAAAAGTCATTTTTAGTCAACTTAAAAATATGCAACACATGGCCATATTTGATAAAGCAACCCATAAAAGTATATAAATCCATACCATTTACTTGCCTTGATAAATTATAGGTAAAAGTGCCTTAAAAGGCCGAGGTCCAAATAGAAATATATTCACATAAAACTTGATGATTTCTTCATTGTAACAATATTTTTTAGCCAACAACTCACGGTTTAAGAAAACCCTTGACAGAAGAATGCAACATATGAATGCAACTTACCAAATGGAGTACAGATTTAAGAAGATCCATGGAAGGCTGGCCAAGACTCTTGAGTACCTCGACAAATCTTCCGTACCCCACTCTGAGTTTGAATCTCTCCTTGGCGTTCCCTGAGCCAGTTAGAACTGTGGTCATCACCTTTAACACTGACATAGCAAGGGTCTGTGCTTCTGATCCACAAAGCTTGAAAAATTATAGACAAAAAGATAGAAAATATTGCCAAATTATCTGGTACTCTTAAAAGTTGAGTTATTTCCACAAAATTCCTACCCTTCCAGATAAACATGATCAACAAGAAACTTTTCAACAACTTGATAATCAAAATTATATTCTAATGATCAATTCTCAAAAGAGGTGAACATAGAATGACTCTTATATTTAACACACATGAATATTGTATGAATAAACAGAATAAAATGTTCTGGAACAAAATATTTTGCTATTTTAAGTAGTACCAGTATTTTGTCCATTTAGGAACAATTAAGTACAAGCTACATTTGCTTGTAAGGTAATTTACTACCATATTTCTTTCATACAAACATTTTGCAAGTATTTTTTAAAAAAATTTCGTAAGTATTTTCTTAAATTCTAACAAGAATTTTTGCAGCAGATATATAGCTTTATTCACTTTAACAGTACACCCAGCCCTACAAGTCACCTTGCTCACATTGTAAATCCTTTCAACATTTTTATAAACATATGTCTAACTAAAAATTTACTAAAATTTCCTCGCAAAAAATACAAACTGATTAGATGTGGATTATGATTTTACCTACATTATTTATGATGACTACTTACCGAAGTTTTCTGTAGCAATGACACAAAGGCATCAAATGTCCCAGCACCAACTAGGATCACCTGCAGTGCACTGGGGTCTTCACATGATAACATCTCATTTATAGCACCTACAAAATACATCCTAACTCTTTATCAAATACAGCTTTCTTCATCACCAACAATGCTGAAACTAAACCTGCAAACTGTAAGCTTTGCCATCAGTAAAGAGCCTACTAACTTGCACAAGTGTCGTGTCTTTCCAAACTTGGTGGATCCATTATTTTTTGGATTTTTTGTTTGTTTTTTGTTAATTAATAGCAATGTCACAAAATTGCTAAATTGACAATGGTCTGTTTTGGCCGAACCTTTTTTGGTTTTTCATTGTGATATTTGTAAATTGCTAAAAATGACAATGGCCTGTTTTAATTAGAAGCTGGGTAGGTACATTAAAGGCCCAATTTGCCCCAGAGGTGATTTTTTTTTTATTTCTCAAATTTAAAGCTTTTTATTTTTTATGTACTTTTCAAAAAAGTATCTCAAAACCCAATTTCCTGAACCATCTTTTTCTTCTGATGCTTTTTAGCATTTAATACAGTTATAGTAATTAGGTATTTTGTATAGAAGTCAGATACTACTTTGTTTACATTTTGCTTCTTTTATGACAAATTATTTCACATTTAGTCCTACTTTATTCAAGTAACAAGTATTTAACATGCTTTTGAACCATTTATATGTTCTAAAACTCATATGTGCAATTTCAAAAGAAGTAAAAACTTATTCGTTTCTGAAGCATAATGTACCTTTATGAAAATCCAACAGATTATGGGTAAGTAAACTCTAGGTTACAGAGAAACAAGTATCATATTTTAATTTCCGATCTGTTACTTTTTAATTGGGAGGAATCATAGATGCTCAAAATAACATTAACTAGACCTAGTTACAATCAATTGAAGGTATTGAAGATGAAATGCAGATGGTAAAGTAAGGATTCAAACCCACAGTGATGACATGCAAATGATTCAAACTTTTCAAAGGCAACAACCTTAACCACTCAGCCATGGAGGCTGTTTTTTTCTTATGTAAATGAGTGCTAGTAAATAAACCCGGTACATACCAATCATAGCTAACTGCATGTCGTCCTCTAGCTGTGAATCAAAGTTTAGTAACACCTGCATATATCCTTCCATTATATGGCTTACTTCCACTTGACGCTAAAAAAATGAAAGAAAACCTTTTATATCTGTAATGCAACACTTGCAACATAAAAATACAAAATTTATGAGCTACAATATAGGGTTAACGCACGTTTTTCCGTGTTATAACGTCTGCAGAGTCCCTCGGAACGGTTGGTGCCCGAGCCCGATAGGGCGAGGGCTCCAACAGTTCCGAGGGACTCTGCAGACTTTATAACACGCAATAAACGTGCGTTGACGCTATTATAGCATAAAATTTTAAAACAGATTCATGATGTATATTATATACAAATCACAAACATTAAATCCTTGTGCTTGAACAGTATTTATCCAACTCTACATGTTTTACGTATGCGTTTTAATTTTTCCGGATATTTTAATTGATTAAACAAAGTTTAACTTTGGAGATATATTAACTTAAGAAAAACATAACATTACTCTACCCAAGACAAAACAGGCCCCTCAGAAATTCCTAGAATGATTACAGATTGGCGGTAGAAAAAAGATCAGTGACATCAGCTAGATTCAATTTCAGAATCGTTTTTTTTTTCAAGCACGCAAGTTTAAAAAAATCAGGCATAAAACATTATTCTCTCAAAGAAACATACAGGACATTTATCAATATAAACATCAATAAAACAACGTTTTCTCATATTCATTTTGTGCTTTCCATTTTTGTAAGTTTAAACTGAATGACAGATTCTCTATTTGTTTACATTGACAACTGTCCGTTTCTAAGAAAGGGCGACAACCAAGATTAGCGGCGATGTCTATACGCCGTATTGCCGGCATAATTACTTGAATGCTGCTTGCCGTTTATGCGACTGAGGCCCTCGAATCAATAATTTCAATATAACAAGAGCGCATGACTCTTTGGCAAACAGGCCAAATCGTCAACTTTTTTGTTTGTTTTACTGGGCCCTGTATGTATTGCGCATAGGTGAAACAGGGCTATAACAAGAGCGCATGACTATGTTTACGCATGGTTTTGGTCCCGTTATAACATGGGCAAAATAGGGGAAAATAGCCGATTTTATGCTATAATTCATAAGCAATAAAAGTGAGAGTAATATCTGTAATGCAACACTTGCAACATAAAAAAGCAAAATTTATGAGCTACAATTCATAAGCATAAAAAGTGAGAGTAATACATACATACTGTAATAGGTGTATAAGTGGTTAAGTTAGCGACACAGAAATATTGGCAAATTTAGCGAACTGATGAAAATCACTTAAGTTTTCTGTAGCGTAAATATCGACCAACCTGGCATTAAATCCTACCCTTCCACGATGAGCTAATTTTTTCTCACATAAAATTTCTGGAATTTTAAATTTTTGTTAACTTTCTGACAAGTGGAAATATCCACTGATACAGTAATGTGTAGCCCTTAGCCTGTAGCCAGTGCAGACCCAAAATAAGTCAACACATTCCTGCCATTTTCTGATCATGGTCTACATAGTTTACCATTCATTCAGTACATATTTTAAAAATTCGAATGGTTTTTGTCCAGATTGAAAGATGGACAAGTTCATTTAAGATATTTTGTTGGGTAAGGATTAATTGAGTCAATTCCTAGACAACCTGTGGGTATTTTCATCCATGCAATTAACTTCAGTCGTCTAGTTTCAGTTTTAAAGTCAGACAGATATTCAACAACAAACAACAGCCTAAAATTGTTAAAGTTGCTGTCTTCCAAGCACTTTCACTTGCCTTAACTTTACCAAAGAATTATTATACTATAATGCATTGTTTTTCTTTCAAATGCTTATTAATTAATCACTCAGGCCTATCAACCATTGTGATGATATTCCTACGCGTATGAACAGGAACCATGCATTATTCTACAACGATGCAGTCAGAATTGTTATCTGATTCCTATATAAATGTGTTACAAATGAGGAAAAAGATATGAAAGATGTGTAAAAACACATATGCCTAAAATGTTTCCACATACCAGGTCAGGACTACAGCAATGTATCACATGAATCATTCTGACCATACATTTCAGCACAAGATTTTTCAGCCCCCGCATTTCCTCTCTCTGTTCATTGGTTGGCTTGTCTGATCCGTTAGAAGCCAGAATCTTGAGAAGAACATCCAAGGTTGCCGGGGTAACTGCACTCAACGCATTATGCTATAGGCAAAAAAGAAAAAGTTTGATAATGGTGGCATGATATATAAACACTCAACTTGTGTTATATAACTGAAGACGTTGATTTTTGGAATTAGCATTAAACATACAGAAGAGCTGTCCATTTACCTTTGATACAAGAAATAAACAACATATGTTAATTAAGCATTCATGCTCGTGTCCAATAAATATTTATAAACACAACGGCGAAAGAGAAATTTTCTAAAAAAAAAAAAAATTTAGAAATTGACCTTGGAGGTTAAGGTCATTTAAAGGTCAAGTCTACTTTTTTAAATGCATCTTGAGTCAGAGCATGAAGATTTTAGCTTAAAGCTTATAGATTGAGGATTAAATGGTCTAAGATTTCAGGTAAAGTTGTTTACAGATAGACAAACACAATATCCCTGACTTTTATCTATCTATCAATGTGTTTGGAGGGGGGGACATAAAAATATGAAACATGGGAACAGATATATGGTCTCTTTTTTGACAGAAGTAAGTCAGTGAGTTTTTCATTATATCTGATCATCTTACCTGAGATCCGGATATACTAGCACCAAACACGTGTATCAAGTGTACCTTTAAATCTGCCGGTAACCAGCTCTTCTGGAAACAATCTGTAAGTCATATAATAAAATGCAATAGATTTTACATTTTTAATTTTGTTGATCTCTACATTGCTAAACCGTCTGGAAAAAAAAACAATAAGGAACAAAGAAGAGTAAAAGAATAACATTTTTTAATCAAACTGTCAAAACCGAAATGTCTGCAGGCATTATCAGAAGTAACTTATCTATTAAAAATATTTCCTAGCCAGTATCAACTTACCATGAAAGAATGGTATGATTTCTACATGTAGCAGAGCTGGCTTATAATTTGAACTAGACAGCTTCTTAGTCCATCTGTAAAATTAAAATTGTATAGTTCAAGTCATGCAAAAAGACTCTTTGATCTTTCCTAATGAAAGAAATAAATAAAACATGCTACATTCAAATTGATTTTTTCTTTGACAAACCACTTCTATAATAACTCAAATTGAGAAAAAAAAATTTCCTTGATATCACGATCAAAATTTGAAGTTGGTCAGCGAACAGTATAGAGCATGGTCAGATGGCATAAAAGTGCACCGGCCAGCCTGGCTCTACACTGGCAGCAAAGGCAAATCACTGTCAGTTCCATCAGGGTAAGTTACGTGTTCGGTACTTAAACTGCTCAATCATTTTGGCTTGCACAATTTACTAGTATATATTTATATTTTGGTCCTTACCAAAAAATCCTTATCAAAATTTACCATGGATACGTAGAATTGTTTCAATCTATAAAATTTGCCATTAGGATAATTTGGTTTCTTATCACTGAGAATTTAAGTTAATGTACAGAATAAACACTGAAACTTTCAATTGTAAAAAATATATGTGAAACAAATTAACTGTTCAATTTGAAATTGGATTTAATTGACAGATTCGTTAATTTAGCCTTCACTTTGAATAAAAGCACTAAATTTCTAATTCACTACAATTATGGTAATTAAAATGAGCATTTTAACATCTTCAGAAAATTACTTAATATTTGGATGTTACAATGAAGGTGGGCGAATTATTATGAAAATTTCATAAAATAATAAAATCAATTAATGTGGGCTTGAATATTAACTTTAATTAGGTCATATTATTGGATAGAATTTCACAAAGCTTCCTAATTAGTGATCAGGCATTGGTTTAAATACGCTTCAAAACCTTTCATCATAAAACAATGCTAAATAATCTTGTTTGAATTTATCTAATTAGCCAAAGACATGCATCAGTACTGTGGGTATAGTACTAAAATATCAGTACTTGCAAACTTATGTAGGATCAGTATCAGTTCCGGTACTAGGGGAAAAGTACTTAAGTACCAGTAGTGGTACTTGAAAACTTATACAGGATCAGTACCAGTACTAAATTTAATTCAGTACTAGTGCAGTATCAGTGCTTTTATTTTGGAATTAATTAAGTACCAGTACCAGAACTTTCATGATTGTAGACACCACATTTTGCTAAATTTAGGAAAATTGTCAAAAGACATATGATACATATATATCATTAAACATGTATGTTTTTTTTTATATCATACAATTTTTCAACAAGATAAATATTGAGTGACAGCGTGGACGAGTGGTTAATGCATCGGACTAGCAATCTAAGGATTGCTGACCACATGGGCTCAAAACCTGTCAGTGGCAAGACATTGTTTCCTTGAGCAAGAAACTTTACATGCATTACTTGGTACTGGTTGGTTCCAGGTATGGATTTGAGAGTGTTTCAATAACCTTATATTTCCTCATAACTTTTTTATTTTTCAATGTATACATATCAATTTGTGCAAGTTGGTGCTTACAACATTTTTCTGCAGTATAACCCACTACTAACCAGTTTTGTACCATAAGTACACATGTACCGTGTTGCTACAGAAACACAGACCAGCTCTTATATGTTATTTGCATTTATTCAGGCTGTCAACAACAGAAAGCAACAGTAACAGAAACAATAAACAACAATAATACAAGGATCTCACCCTAGCAGTCTTTTCCGCCATATAAAATATGGATCATACAAACATTCGAAGAAATGTAGCGTTAGTTTCAGGAAAATGATATGTTGTTGTAACTCCTCCTCTATCATGTTTCCTTTAATCTGAAAACGAGAAAGCATTACATTAAAAAAAATATGTCTTACAGCTACTATTATCCCACTCAAGGTGGTTTGACCTTTTTTTTTGACCAAAAAAAAAAACCAATTGTCACAAAAGATACTATTACATCACATTTTAAAAAATTTTTAACATAAAATGAAAACTGTTTAAAATAAAACTGTTGTATATTCAGAATACATTAACAAGCTTAATTATAAACATTTCACAAGCCTAATAACGTAAAAATTTTGGCTCATCTGGAGGCATCTTAAACAACTGTTGCAATATATTTTTATCCATGTAGCGATAAGTATTTATAATACAGGATCATTTTTTGACACAAGTATGTATCTAACTTGTAAAAAATAGAGATGTCTTGCAAAGGAAAAAGTAAATCAAAGTGTATGAGATATCTTGCAAAGGAACAAGTTAACCAAACAGTACCATCTCAACCCTAACCATGCCAAATATCTTAAATGGACTTGTCCACCCTTCTATCTTTTTAGTGAAAATTTCAAGATAAGTACTGACTAAATATGGGAATAGTGCAGACCATGCATAAATTTTCCATTGATCTTGGTCTGTTTGGTGGCATTGGTAAAATCTGGCAAGATTTATTGCCAAGGGCAGACTTATTTTACTTCTTTTTTAGTCATTACCTTTTTTATGGTTCCAATTACCGCCAGCCAGTAACAAGGAATTCCTAGGATTCCCTAGGAATTATTTCAGTGAATATTCCTAGGATTTCCCAGAAAATTCCTGGTAAAATTACCAGTAATTTCTGCACAGGTAAGAGTTTAAAATAACAGTTTTAGTTTGAATTGTTTTTCATAACATGAAATATATTGCAATACAGGTTGACACTGCAGGTTAACCATAAATCCCTGTAACCTTGAAGTATTATAACTACACTGGGTGATTTTAATATCAAAACGATTATATTTCCAGCCAGATTGCAAGAATATGTGCACATTAACCTTTTCCCATTTCTATAAGCATATTTTGTCACCTTAGCGCAGTAACATGTTAACTCCTTACTTAATTTAATAGGAGATAACCCATTACTGCAATAAGTTGACAACATGTACTTGGTCAATTACAAACTGCTAGCTCTTTAATGATTTAAAATAATTTCACAAAAAGAGAAAACTCTCAATATTCATTTTATTTCCATGGCAACCATTATTTTTAAATGAAACACAAGTATTCGCCTGATGATTTACTGACAATGACATTTTCTGATAAACAATGCCCAGAATTGATTTCACTCTATAAATAGTGATTACAGTTGTTTATATCTAGGAATCAAAATCAGGCAGATATATTTCATGTTGGGTGGTAACTGTTGCAACCATGTTACTTTTTAAAATTCATGTACTGTTAAAGGCACATCATGCCTCAGAAAATCACTAATAATTTTTTTAATTACTTTTAAAAGTTCAAACATGTGTTTTAAATAATGTTTTGATAATGGATTTAGAGCATGTTATATCTTTAACAATTGAAGAAAGTGGCACTTTTCAAAAATATTATGTAAATCTATTACATTTATTTAATTTATAAAATAAAGTAAATTACCTTTAATTCAAAAGTTCAACCATGTATATGCTTTTACATTTCTTTCTAAATCATGTAATATATTTGCATCAATTTAATCGAATCAAAATTGACACCGAGTAAATAATTTGAGAATTTTTTATCTATTTATATTTATTTTCTTTGAGGGTGGGGTGGGGGGTTTAAAGTCACACCAACTCTGTAAAGGTCATATGGATTAGATGCACCTCTGTACATTATTTTAGACACAAGCCAGCACCTGTATAGAACCACTGATCTTCTGCTAGCTAAAGTTGAGGAATTTAAAACAACCCTGAATATTGTACAGAGCAATAACAGATGTCATGTGACTAAGAACTTTTTTTTATTTTTAATGTTGTGTTTGACCTTGTGCCATGGGTCATATGGCGACATTCCAGCTTTTATGGTGGAGGAAGACCTTGGGTACCCTTCCATGCACTATTTCAGGCACAAACAGGCACCTGAATAGAACCACTAACGTTCTGTAAGCTAGCTGAATAGCTTCCTCACATGAAAGAATCCAAAGTCCCTGTCGGGACTCAAACCCACAGCGGTGAGGGGCAAGTGGTAGGGAGCTCAAATCTCAATTGCTTGCTTACCTTATTTACAACAGCAGTGGCGATGTTAACAGCATAACTTGTGAACTCGCATGATGCTACTAACTGCACATTATCATGATTCCTGCAATAGTTAAAAGAAATAAGTCCTAGAGTTTTACAATGAATTAATTACAAACAAAATTCAATTGTGTTCTTTTTTTTTGTAGCTATTTACCCTCTGAATCAGCTTTTATCAAAATTTCAGGAAACCAATGCATGCAATTACCAAACAAATGTTTCTGGATTTATTCAAACCCATTTAGCTCTTAAGATCACACACGGGTAAAAATATACACCTTGACTTACATGGACTCGCAGTAAATGATACAGTGATTCTATTTACCCATTGTAAGTGGTTTTTATTCGAAAGTTGATCTAACATTGAAGCCCCTTATGACTGAGGGGTTGCAGCCACCATTTTAATGTGAGCACAAGCACCTGTTACTCTGGATCACTGTACGATTTATTGCAGGCTTATTTCATTCAACTTGTATCATTTTTTTGCTAGCACAAAAAGTAGATGTGTTTACTACCTATGTTACTGAGTGTCATCATAAATCAGGACAGAAATTTCAGAAAGCCACTTATAAATAAAACATAAATAAAACTATCATTACTACACTATTGTAAGCCGTCTTTCCCTTTCAATTGTTTTTGAAAGGGAAGTCAAATACTTGTCCAAAAATTGTACATTAAACTTAATTATACTTTGTTGTAATACGAAAAACAAAAGATGCTCACCTGCACAGAACAATTAAACATTTGACAATATTTGTTGCTAGTTTGATCGTATCTAGGTCATCACCACAGCAACACTGATTCAACTGGTTGCCAAGCACCTGTAGTATCCCATCAGGCAATTTGGTCAGATGTGGACCTTCTTCAGAGAACCTGTTGTATTAAAAATAAAAGTACAATGACATAATTATATAATTATCAATATACCATATGATACATAATTACTGAAGTTTTTTGTTAAAATCTGTTGTTTTATAAATAATTATCCAAGAATTAATTGGCTTGTATGCAATTTGCATTATAAAATTATAACTTTCCAGCTTTGTTTTAATGTTAACCCTCATAGAATATTTCAGACAAAAAGAAGACCTATAAGTTACGATCAATCAGTTCATATACAAATTTGAAGGCACATACAATTATATACAATGTATACTGAAAAATTTGTGACTGATTATTTCATGCAACTATGTCAAACGACATACCAAAAGCGCACTGACTGAGCATGCGCGGAACACTTTCTCATTTGATATCATAGTTATTCTATTAACGTTATAGAATTATAAACAATGTATACTGAAAAATGATACTAATGAATACTTTGGTTGGTTTCATGAATAAGTCAGTCCTTCCAAGGAAATCTCATTTTCTCTGCTGTATGATTATTTTGCATTACAAATTATTTACATTTTACTTTTTTGCAAAACACAAACAATTCATCAGTTGTGAGACCAACAAAAATGTCCTTTATGACAAAACCATTAATTTTCATGCCAATAAAATGAATTCACATTAATATCTATTAATGCATTGAACAAATTTATTTCATTTACTTACCCGTCAGTTAAATGATTCAAATCATAGTCTATCAGATCCCTGTATGTTTCTATAAATAGTTCGATATAGTCGTGTAATGCTTTTGGATCAGTCTGAAAAACAAAGAAGAGAAAATATGAAACTTGTAACAGACCACAATTATCAGCTTAACTTATCGTAACAAAATCAGACTTACTGTTTCGAGTATGAGAAATGATATGTTAATACATGCGAATGTGTGCAAGAAGGAAAGATCTAGATAGAATAAAAGAGCAAAATGGCTACCATGTGCTCCCCATAGCATATGTTTAAGGAGCCCAATGTGAACTAGCCTATACCATGCTAAATACCTGAAATAAACCTCTGCATCTTTCAATCTAGGCAAAACCATACAACAGTTTAGGAAAATCTTCAACATTAGTAATGACTGAATCAGCTACCAGCTCAGTCACTGAACAGAATATGGACTGGCTATTATGTGTTCCACGATCAAAATATGGACTGGCTATTATGTATGTCATGATCAGAATATGAACTGGCTATTTTGTGTTCTATGATCAGAATATGGACTGGCTATTTTGTGTTCTATGATCAGAATATAAACTGGCTATCATGTGTTCCATTATCAGAATATGGACTCGCTATTATGTGTTCTATGATCAGAACATAGACTGGCTATTTTGTGTTCCATGATCAGAATATGGACAGGCTATCATGTGTTCCATTATCAGAATATGGACTGGCTATTATGTGTTCTATGATCAGAATATGAACTGGCTATTTTGTGTTCTATGATCAGAATATGAACTGGATGTTATGTGTACCTTGATCAGAATATGGAATGGCTATTACATGTACGTGTTCCATGATCGAAATATAGACTGGCTATTATGTGTTCCATGATCAAAATATAGCCTGGCTATTATGTGTTCTGTATTCCATGATCAGAATATGAACTGGTTATTATGTGTTCCATGATCATAATATGGACTGGAAATTATGTGTTCAATGATCATAATATGGACTGGTTATGTGTTCCACACAACATAAATCCAAGGAATCCTACATACATGTATAAGACATACTTCAAAGTCATGTATAAGGTAGTCACGGTTTTAACATTATAGAATTTCTCCAATTCAACAAAACCTTTCCAACTTCTAGACTTTGAGGGTTTTTCCCAAAAAAGATGGAAAAAGGCCCTAAATTCTTGTAAGAGAATGAAAGAATAAACAACTCTTAGCTGAAGAATTGCAGAAAAATCCAAACTACAAGACAAAGTACTACAAATTGTCTGTAAGAAATTTCACAAACATGATGTAAACCTTTATAGACATTATCAAGATTACATATAACAAAGTGTTTTAAGCTAGTTTAAGATGCTTACAATACATTATAATCTATACAAATTACATTTAACTTTAACTGGAACCAAAAGTGACCAGCCTATCAGCTCTGTTACCAGTACAGAGCCTGAGGCCAAGTTCTATATTGTTGGTAGTCTAAACAAGCTCTATATATACAGTTGGTAGCTTTTGATAATGAAATTCCTTAAAGGCACATATTATGCTTCAAAAATAAATACTTATTAATTTCTTTAGAAAGCTAGGTCAAACAAGAGTCTAATATAATGTTTAAACTAGAACTATCACTAAATGTGATTAATACCCCCACAAGACTGCTTTGGAAATGAGGATGTTACTAGTAACAGAATACCTTGTAAAAGAATTGAAATATAGAGTTATGGTTGTGGGCAATTAAAGATAGTTGTGGTTCTTGTATATTGCATTTCCTTTCAATGTGGTTGACCATTGAAGAAGTTTTATTGAATTACTCTGTAATAAGTCTAGAAATACAAAGAAAAGGAACAAAGGGCAAAAAAAAATAACTCTATAAATACTGAAGATGGAGTTATAGTTCTTGTGCACTGCACTTCCTCCCTCTTTTTGTGCTTGACCATTGTATGAAGTTGTTTTGAATTTCAACCAGTATGTTTTAAGTTATGCTCCAGACAATGAAAAGTATCAAAGGGCAGTAACTCTGTATTTTGTCAAAATGGAGTTATGACTCTTATGCACTGCACTTCCTTTTAATGTCCTTGACAACTGTATGAAGTTGTATTGAATTCCAAACAGTAGTTTTCAAGTTATGCTCTGGACAAGGAAAAGTACAAAAGGGCAATAACTCTGTAATTTGTCAAGATGGAGTTATGGTTCTTGTGCACTGCACTTCCTCTCAATGTGCTTGACCATTGTATGAAGTTATATTGAATTCCAACCATTAGTCTTCAAGTTATGCTCCGGACAAAAAAAGCAATGGAAAGTAACAAAGGGCAGTAACTCTGTAATTAGTCAAGATGGAGTTATGGTTCTTGTGCACTGCACTTCCTCTCAATGTGCTTGACCATTGTATGAAGTTATAATGAATTCCAACAATTAGTCTTTTAAGTTATACTCCGAACAAAAGAAAGCAATGGAAAAGTAACAAAGGGCAATAACACTGTAATTACTTTAGATAGAGTAATGGTTCTTATGCACTGCACTTCCCCTTACTGTGTTTGACAATTTTATGAAGTTGTTTTGAATTCCGACCAGTAATTTTCAAGTTATGCCCCAGACAAGGAAAAGTAACAAAGGGCAATAACTCTGTAATTAGTAGAGACAGAGTTATGGTTCTGTGCACTGCACTTCCTCTCAATGTGCTTGACCATTGTATGTAGTTTTATTGAATTCCAACCATTAGTCTTCAAGTTATGGTCCGGACAAAAGAAAGCAATAGAAAAGTAACAAAGGGCAATAACTCTGTAATTACTTTAGATAGAGTTATGGTTCTTATGCACTGCACTTCCCCTTATTGTGTTTGACAATTGTATGAAGTTGTTTTGAATTCCAACCAGTAGTGTTCAAGTTATGCCCCGGACAAGGAAAAGTAACAAAGGGCAATAACTCTGTAATTAGTCAAGATAGAGTTATGGTTCTTGTGCACTGCACTTCCTCTCAATGTGCTTGACCATTGTATGTAGTTATATTGAATTCCAATCATTAGTCTTCAAGTTATGGTCCGGACAAAAGAAAGCAATGGAAAAGTAACAAAGGGCAATAACTCTGTAATTACTTTAGATAGAGTTATGGTTTCTTGTGCACTGCACTTCCCCTTATTGTGTTTGACAATTGTATGAAGTTGTTTTGAATTCCAACCAGTAGTGTTCAAGTTATGCCCCGGACAAGGAAAAGTAACAAAGGGCAATAACTCTGTAATTAGTCAAGATAGAGTTATGGTTCTTGTGCACTGCACTTCCTCTCAATGTGCTTGACCATTGTATGTAGTTATATTGAATTCCAACCATTAGTCTTCAAGTTATGGTCCGGACAAGGAAAATGCAACGGACGTCTGGACCGACCGACCGACTGACCGACCGCCAGACCGACCAACCGACCACCGGGTGACTCCTATATACCCCCCCAAACTTCGTTTTTGGGGGTATAATAATGGTTCTAAACTATGTTAGATGCTTGTTACCAATACCATAATCAAATAGCGTTAAATGATATGTCACAAAAAGCAGCAAAACATAAACAAAACATTATCATGATATCCATACAAAATACTAAATCACTATATTGTACTAATTGTAAAAAAGCTAAAAACTTGTTGGAAACTACACATATAATAGAATTTACCAAAAATAAAAAAAAAAAAAGATTCTGAGAAATAAAAGTGAAAAATTTCTGGGGCATGATGGGTCTTTAAGTTTTGTCTACACATCCGAGGGCATGCACCTTTAAACCTTGAGTAAAAAACATCTAAAATCTGGTCTTATCATCAGAAAGTGGTCAAATCTCAGCATATTTCTAGATAACAAATCAAAGGGAGGAATATTTGAAATAAATATATGTTTATCCATTCCTAATTGCCTAATTTTTATCTTCATCTTCCTTCAGGGCAATAATTCAACAGATTTTTTTTTATAACAAGGATGGGAAATTTCACCATGCAAACTTGAAAACTGAACTTGCATTTTTCCTTTTTTTGTTGTTGTTTTTTTGTAGCTGTTTTTAGTTTGTTTGTTGTTTGCTTTTTGTTACAAGGATAAGATATTTCACAATTTTGCAAACTTGAAAACTAAACCTACATTTTTCCTTTTTTGTTGTTTTTTGTTGTTGTTTTTGTTGCTGTTTTTTGTTTGTTTGTTTGTTGTTTGTTTTTTTTGTTATAGGGATAAGAAATTTCACAATTTTTTAAGCTTGAAAACTGAACTTGCATTTTTCCTTTCATCTAGTGATCTACATACTATTGATAAACCCTCTGAAAATGACAAAGCCTATGTTAATTGTATAGAACCAGCCTAAAGCTCAGACAGACCAGGCTGTATTATATACATCTGTAAGCTGCTAACTTAAACTTTAAATTTTCATCTCTTGCTTTCCCCAAAATTTATAGTGGACAGTTCCAAAATTGAAAGCTGAAAAAAGTCATTTAAAAAATAAAGGGAGTTATAAACATTAAATTCAATCAAGAATTTAATACCCGATATTTTGAAATCATGTTAATGGGTTTAAAATCAATTAATTTCATCTTGGTTCTCTCAACTGCTCATTGCTAATTGAATAAACGATTTTAAATCAAATTTTACCATCTTCAGTGGTTAATGGCACTGCAGAAAATCGATACCCAATTTCAGATAAGCTATGTGCAGTACAAGTGTTTACCTGTTATCAAGGTATCTATTTTGCAATGCAAGAGTTATACATGTAATTGTCTGTCATTGTTATAAATAAACTGTTATTCAACTCTCAGTCTGTTGAAATAAAAAAAAATACTTTGTAAAAGAATACTTCCAAAATATCTGTATGAAAGAGATTTGTTAAAGAGTTGCAGAAGCAAAAAAAAAAAATCACAGAATAAACCTGATTATGAAATAACTTTTAATAATAATAATCTTAAAAATTAATATTTTTTATGGACAACATTAATCTAACATCATGCATTCTGTAAGAAAATAGTTTTCTTTTATGGACAACATCTCGAAAAGCATCTGTTCAACATCTATACAAAATGATCAATTAAAACAGATGTTTCACAGGAAATGGCAATTAAAAACATGCTTCTTATATACATATATCTACCTCTAAGCAGACATAACAATTCTAACAAATAAACATAACATTCTCAGAATGTGTACTCAACATTTTGGAATTTCTTTACCTCTGTGTACTGTCTTCAGCACTGTTAACAAGAGGTGATGAATAGCAGAAAATGTTTTGAAAATTTGTAAAAAAATAATAAGAAAATAACCATCCTAAAAGTATGACATCAAAAATCTCTTAACTCTTTAGCTTGCTGGCAGTAACTCATTCTGTCGATGCCGCAAGTGCAGCTGAAGATAAGCCAGTAATTGTGTGCCACTTGATCATCATCGTGATGGTCTGCACTGTTCACCCTATTCAGTTGACCTTTGATCACAATAATGGTCTGCACTGTTTGCACTATTCAGTTCCTTTAATCATAATATTGGTCTGCACTGTTAGCCCTATTCAGTCCCTTTAATCATAATACTGGTCTGCACTGTTTGCACTATTCAGTTCCTTTGATCATAATAATGGTCTGCACTGTTCACCCTATTCAGTTCCTTGGATCATGATAATGGTCTGCGTTGTTCACCCTATTCAGTTCCTTTGATAGTAATACTGGTCTGCACTATTTACCCTATTCAGTTCCTTTGATCATCACCATGGTCTGCACTGTTCAACCCATTCAGTTCCTTTGATCATCATCATGGTCTGCACTGTTTGCCCTATTCAGTTCCTTTGATTATCATAATGGTCTGCACTGTTTGCCCTATTCAGTTCCTTTGATCACAATATTGGTCTGCACAGTACACCCTGTTCAGTTCATTTGGTCATAATAATGGTTTGCACTGTTTATCCTCTTCAGTTCCTTTGATCATCATCATCATGGTCTGCACTGTTTGCCCTATTCAGTTCCTTTGATCATCATAATGGTCTGCACTGTTCGCCCTATTCAGTTCCTTTGATCATCATAATGGTCTGCACTGTTTGCCCTATCCAGTTCCTTTGATCATAATATTGGTCTGCACTGTTTGCCCTATTCAGTTCCTTTGATCATCATAATGGTCTTTACTGTTTGCCCTATTCAGTTCCTTTGATCATCATAATGGTCTGCAATGTTCATCCTATTCAGTACATTTGGTCATAATAATGGTCTGCACTGTTTATCTTCTTCAGTTCCTTTGATCATCATCATGGTCTGCATTGTTTGTCCAATTCAATTCTTTGGATCATAATAATGGTCTGCAGTGTCTGCCCTATTCAGTTGGAACACAATGTTCTTAGATTTTTCTTAAATGGATTCTCAGGCAAATTAATGAAAAATGATCCTATGTACTCAAATCACACTAAAATGACATTTTTTAAAGTCCCAGGATGTATTTCTGTATAAATTTTATATAGTTTGGGTTTGAAGCTTAATTATCTATATATATGAATATGTTGAACGAAATTTAGATACCAAAAGAATCACCAAGTAGTTTGTAAACAAGACATGTGACTTGTACTTAAACCCTGGAAGTTACAAAAACTGCTGGTATAGGGCTGCTTCCCCAAAGAAAAATTCTTTAAAATGATGCAGTTTTCCCCCAAAATTGAATTTACATCAAGATTTTTCTTCCCCTTTTGCAAATATACTGTGTATTTTTTCCCAAAAATTAAAGGCTGGGCTGCTTCCCTAACTTGTGAAAAAAAAAGCACTGATCTGTATTGAATGAACATGGATATTCAAACCCATAATGTCACTTGAGTTTGTACGGACAGACGGAAAGACAGAAGGCCGAAATGTATTAACAATATACACACCGTCATTCAATTCATGCTCCTTTAAATGATTGGTATGCATATTTACTCCAATACATCATTATTCAAATACAGATTTCTAAGATGCTGAAACAGAATCACAAATAAAGATCATTCCCAAATCTCAAGTCTTTACTCAACTTTTCTTAAATTACTGCCAAATTTCAATCATGCATTTTCCCCCCAATTTTTAACAAAACATCGCTGAAATTCTAAATTCCATGGGTATGGGTCATTTTCCCAAAATCCTGGAAAATAATCCTGAATTAAAAAACTAGAACTGCCACTGTCATGGCATGCATATCCCAGCATACCACTTTGTCAGAATCAACAGTGGTCATTCAGAGCTCAAGGACAACCTCACAGCAAAATTTGAGGGTATTAAGCCAGTGCCTTACTAAGTTATGTATTCTACATGTTTTTAGCGGCAAAGATCAAAATGATCTTTACCTTTGACCTACTGAACACAAAACTGAAACTGCACTCCATTCATGTGGCTTTGCCTGTGGGTGTTTTATGATGAATATATGAGAACATAACTATATGCTTCAAATGTGAAAACGTCAAAATCAATACTGTGGCCAAGGCATTCTTAAGCATTTGAGCAGACAAGCTTATTGCAGTAAAAGCCCCAGTGACCTTGACATTTGACCTAAAAACCAATAGGGGTCATCTTATAATCATAACCAACCTCGATAAATATTAAGACTGTTAACCAAAACATTTTCAAGCAATTGAGCGACAAGCTTTTTGAACTTAAGGCCCTTGTGACCTTGACCTTTAACCCATTGACTTCAAAATCATTAGGGAACACTTAATGGTCATGATCAACCTCCATGCCAAATATGAAGACTGTAGGTCAAAGGATTATTAAGTTATTGGGCGGATAAACTTTTTCAGTCAAGACCCTTCTGACCATGACCTTTGACCTATTGACCTCAAAACAATACGGGTCATCTACTAGTCATACTACTCAATACCAAATATGAAGACTGTTAACTAAAGCATTCTTAAGCAATTGAGCAGACAAGCTTTTGAACTTAAGGCCCCAGTGACCTTATAAAATCGGTAAGAAATTGCAGCGCCTCTTCAGTTTTTTTTTTTTTTTCAATAATTGTTTGAGTTTTTGATATGGTACACACAGGTTCTTTCAGATACAGACAAACGAAAAATGGCGCTTGGAGTAAGGAGTTTTACTTTTCTGAAAACTGTTGAGGAATGAAAAATTGACGCAAGAATTTACCATTTTAATTCAAAAAAATTTCAAAGCATAATTAATGCACATTTCGAAAACAAATCTTTCCTAGGCAAGGAGTTGCTGTTTTTAATACCAGCAAGTTGTGACTAACATAATTAAAGATTTCAATCAATTGTAAAAAAATCTAAAGATTTTTTCCTGGTGATTTATTTTAATGTAGCAAGAAATATAATTAATAATAACATTAAAGAATAATTGACACTGTTTAATAGTTTTTCATATTTCTTTAGCAACGCAAAAAAGAAAAGAAAAATTGACAACATTCACGAACGGTACTGAACAATATCAATTTTTAGCAGCGTGACTAAATACCTAATATGAATTGAGGTATTTCACGCACCTGCTAAAATGAGATCGCTAACCGGAAGTCGGCCATTTTGAAGGCCCAAATGGAATTTCCATGAGTCATATGAATCAGCTGATAATATTTTATTTGTTTACAACAGTTTACACGCGATAATCAGATAATGGCAAGTGATAAAAAAGCTTTGACAGCTATACTTTCATATCGTGATGGATTGAGTGGAACAGAATTAAATCGTTACGATGACAAGATAAACTTGCTCGGGGGTACTGATCCTTATCAGATATCAAAGTGGTCGAGTGATGTTTCATTATTACCAACAGTAACATATATTGACATTGTAAATTACCTTCTTTGGACACCTAGTGCTTACACTAAAGAAGATTTAAAAAGCTATAAAGGTTTAGAAGCATATAACCAGTTTGTGAACGGCTGGGTGAGGGAAAAGTCAGTAGCTGAGTGCAATGGATACATAGTTGTGATAGCCAAGGTCTGTAAATTATGAAAATATGCACTTACTGAACATTTTTATATTAATTAATAACTTATTCATTGAATATATTTTATAATCATCTCAATCTGATTGTATTGCTCTTAATTATATTCAGTATATATATCTTTAATTGTGGCAGAGCGGTTAAGGTCATAGATTTCAAACCATTTTTCTCTCTAAACGCTGAACTTCAGAGTCAGACTGGGTTATCCGGGTTCAAATTCTTTTTATGTTGGAAAAATATCTAGCTAGATTTTAGTATGTCTTGTTTATTTCAGGTCCTTCATTCCCAACGTTTAAGTGAGAAGCCATTGCGACCATGGGTTGTAGCAGAAAAGTCTGGGACAGTGGCTGCTGCTCATTGTAATTGTATGGCAGGACTAGGAGAGGCATGTACACATATAGCCGCACTGCTTTTCGCCATAGATGCAACTGTACGCATAAGGGACTCTAAAACTGTAACTGATGAAAAGGCATATTGGTTGTTGCCATCCGATATGAAAAAAGTAAGTTATGAGCCTTTAAAGAACATTGACTTCACTTCAGCAGCAACAGCTAAACGTAAGTTTGAGCAGTCCCTGGATGCTATATCCAGTCCAGGCACTGTATGTCAGACGCCAAAGTTGCCTAGAGAAGACCGCACACCAGAGGCTACTGATGAAGACATGGACATTTTCTATAGAAAATTAGCTAAATGTAACCCCACTTCTGCCATCTTATCAATAGTTGAGCCACATTGTGAAAAATTTATACCAAAGGCAATAAGTGAAGACTTCCCCAAAGTATTGACTGAACTAAAAGATGACAATTGTATGACCATGACCCACATTGAACTGAAAAAACATTGTGCCCCTTTAATGAATGCAATAACATGTGATGCTCAACAGAAGGATGCTGTTGAAAATGTAACACGTGAACAGTCTCTATCCAAATTCTGGAATACGTTCCGTGCTGGACGGGTAACAGCATCACAGGCAAAGGCTGTGTGTACAAGTGACCCAAATGACCCTTCTTCCTCCTTGATCAAAAGAATCTGCTACCCTGGGACTAACACCTTTAAAAATCAAGCAACAAAGTGGGGAAATGATAATGAAAAAAACGCATTAAAGGCTTTCAATAAGCTCATGATGGAAAGCCATGAAAATGTATGTTTAGAAAGTTCAGGATTCATAATTTCTACTAAATTCCCATTTATAGGAGCATCGCCAGATGGTGTTTTTTCATGTGACTGCTGTGGAAAAGCAACTGTAGAGGTAAAGTGTCCATTTAATCTTAGGAATGAGGGTCTTGACAAGTGTGACTACTTGGTAACTGATGACAGTGGTGATAAATGTTTGAAAACAAACCATCAATATTATTACCAAATACAAACTCAATTGGGCTGTTCAAATCTCGAATTTGGCTATTTCATTGTGTGGACAGAAAATGATATCCATGTTGAACAGATCATGTTTGACCAGGTTGTTTGGGAAAAAATAACGTTTAGCGCCAAAAATATCTTCAATGTGGGAATCCTTCCGGAACTTGTAGGAAAATATTACACACGTTTTCCTACTTTAAGTCAGACATTGAAACCAACAGCCTCTTGTAGCACACCACCAAAATCAGTTCTTTCAGCGGTTTGTTCAAACAGCAGTCGGGACGATCAGTCCAATGAATCCAAAGAACTATACTGCTTTTGCCAGAAAGAAGCTTACGGAAAAATGATTGCCTGCGACAATCAGAACTGCAACAATGAATGGTTTCACTATCAGTGTGTGGGAATTAAGCGTAAACCTCGTGGTGACTGGTATTGCAAGGAATGCAAATGTTAATTGATTCTTGAAAGTTATGGAAACCTGAACTTAAGGAGAACAAGAAGCAACTATGATATTTACATTTCTTTAATCATGATATGAAATAATCATATTATTGATGTCACATTGAGAAAGAGAAAAGTGAATAATATGACACTGGATGAATAACATTAATTTGATTAAATCAGTACACCTACAGATTAACACAAATCTAATTAAAGTTGTAATGTTCAAGTTCAACCTAATACATGATACTTATAGTTCTATTTTTTCTTGTGCAAAAAAATGGATTTATATATCTTATAGATATGCCTTGATAGATTTTAATATAATATAATGTTATTTATATATATATATGTTTGCTACTTATTAAATGTCCTGAAAAAATTTAAAACTTGTTGATTTTGTTGCACTTTGTAACTTTTAATAAGCATATCATGATATACATTGACAACAATGAAGAATTAAGTCAAGCATATAAGAAAAATATACAATATGTTCTCCATTTTTAGTTAAAATCCACTACGGAATCACATAGATTTACCAATCCACAAGCCACAGTTACTACTTTATCCATAGTGGTTATACCCTCACTGTCCTTTGTCATTAAAAAATTGATAGGTAAACAACCATTTAAAATAGTATATTTTTGTCGTACAGACCCAATAACTCTTTCTACATGAATTCGGCAGTGGGCCAGTTTTCTTGTTGACTCAATGTCCAACGCTGATAGTTGGTCCTTTCCTTTGGTAAAAGCAGGTATTTTCACCTCCGCACAGACAGACCCTACACTTTCCTTCACATCAAAACCACGATCAGCCAGCACAAGGTCACCTGGTAACAATTTACTTAAAAAACCACTATTTTCGGTAATGTGCTTGTCACTAACCCTTCCACCCCATCCATCCGAAATGTACGAAACACTACCCTGTGGCGTGATCCCGATTAAATATTTGATGGTATGGTGGTGTTTGTAAGATGACCAGGTTTGTGCACGGGCTTTCAGTCCTGTCGGTTTTTCTATAAATACCTTGAAACAATCAATAATCACGGCACATTTATTCCCAAAGTATTTACGGAATTCCATTGGCATTGTTTTCCTAAGTGTTTCTCTTTCTGGCCACTTAATAAGTTTTTTCATTCTTTTAAACATCACATCAATGGTTTTTATGAACAATCTTGAAACAGACGATTGATTTATTCCGAAAACATAACTTAAGAATATGTTTGACAGGTTCATTCGTAATTTCATTAATGTCATTGTCATCAGCTTGAATTTGCTCAGAACAACACAATTTGGTAAATAAGGTTCTATAAATTCAAACAAAAGTTGTATCATCAAAAATGATGGTAATCCAGTTAAATGTTTCACCCTGTCATCATTGCCCCTGAAGAATTCAACATCAAACTTATCCAATGAATTAACTGTTAACTCAAGTTCACATTTCTCACTTCTTAACTTTTGTATTTCCTCAAAATGGGCATGCATTAAAGGGGCGTCTAAATCAGTTTGAACTGAAACACCTGTGTTTTCTTCCTCTACATCTACATGTTCAATAGCCTTACTATACACATGGTCGTCAACTAAGTTTGTCTCCTCAGGAAGTTCAAATTCAACCAGACGCCTTTTCCTTGAAACCTGGCGCTGAAATCTATTTGTGTTGACAGGTGTACTGGCAGGCCTACCACCCAAATTCACACTTGGTGCCCAGTCAGGATTCAAATGGTCATGCAAATAGGCTTTCTCACCTGTAAAAATAAAAAGAATAAAATTAAAATAAAACTGAAAGGATTGACACTTAGCTATCATGTGAACAGTGGTTTAAAATATATACATGTATACAGTATAGATCAGGTTTTGTAACAAAATATCTAGATACATTTGAAAATTTCAAAACGGCCAGGCATACACAGCTTTGAAGTTCAAGTTGGTGCAAAAACTACTGAAATATATAACTAATATTGTTTATCTTATTTCTAAAGAAATTTAATAACGTACCGCTGACGAAATGAGCTGAACATACACGGACATTATCCATGTTTTTGTTTGTGAAGTCCTGTCCTATTCTTGCAAGCCATACGCGTTGCCGATCAGAACTTAATTTCTCACATTCTAACCCTTGCCTCGTGATCACCTTAGGTATACGATAATAATGTAGGTCATTCTCTCTGTCTTTCCTATTTACACAGCCAAATATAGAACACTTAATCACCATATTTGCTAAAAATAGTACAGTAACTGAAACGTGTCGATGAATCATCTGGGGGAAGCCTTCAAAATGGCGGCCGCTTCCGTTTGTGACGTCACACGAAATATCTCAATTCATATTCGCGAATATGAACGGGAGAACCGAATATGAATATTATTTTCTTAAAATCAGCTCTTATGGGATTATTTTCATCAACAGAGACTATTATTTACTTGTATCATATGTACATGTATTTTAATGAAAAAAATACCAATTTTTAGCGTACATAATACATTACTGTAGCGCCTTGGTACACAAATGAGACAGTGATATGAAACTAACATGGTTTACTTTGTGCTCTTAATTCCTTAGAATTATATTGTTGAAGAAATCATATTCGATATTTTGTCATATCGTAAATTCTTAGTTTAAATAAAAATTTGGATGCATTATCACATTAACATCGAAATCCACAGAAAAGTCTCCTTTTGGTTTTGACGTTAAAGCGAGATTCTGCCCCAGAACAAAAATATCTCAGAATCAAGCTTTGGCACGACTAAGATTTGTAGGACAGCTATTTCGCTAAAAAAAAAATTTTTTGTCTTTCAGAGAATTTGTAGGCAAAATTAGAAAAAAAGAAGTCATGACAGTACCTTCGTCGTATAAATCATCCAAAACTGAAACAATCTCTCTTTTGAACTCAACTCTTCCATTTCTGCTAAATCATGTATTTCCAAATAATCATTTTATTGACAATTTTGGAGAATTTTATCCAGCACTTCCGCAACTAGGACAATATCAGAAGAATCCGAATCATTAAATAAAGGTAAAGAATATGAACTACCAACAAGACTCTTAACTACATTTTTCGCGTTCTGTGGTCGTCATTGCCCTAACCGAAAAATATTGATGTTTGACCTGGTGAGATGGGATCACATCCTGATTTCCTATTGAGTGGATAAGTAAAAGCTGCTCAGATAAATCTATCTGGCTGCATCTGTGTGTCAAAGTATCCAAAGAACTTGAACATCTATGTAAGTTTGTTATACCATTATAATATAAATATAATTGTAGCGTGTACTGAGCGGATGATTATTATTCTATTTCTACAAAATAAAATCTTGATAATCTTGATATTCTTAAATGCAAATACTTTGTACATGTAATTTTTCTCGGGATACTTATACTTATGATCGGAAAACAACAAAAAACAACATTCAATGCATGATCACAATCTTAATCTATTTCTAAAATCATTCAAAAAATATATATATCCAAGAAACAATTTATTTTCTCAAAACTTTTTTTCAACCTAAATCAATAAAAGAAGTACACCTATCATTTATTCCCTTATTTTTGTGTTTCAACGATCTCTTTCACAAAATTCAATTCTTAAAACATACATAACAAACAGTTCATCATTAATTATTTGCCTTATAAATATAGCATCCTTAGTACCAGATATCCGAATTTTCTGTGTACTAGTAATTAACTTTTTAAGTTTTAACTTCAACCATAATTATATTATTTTTAATCAACTGTTGACCCGAGAGGTCTTACTGAAACGATAAAACACTTCAAAACCAGATATCTGAGAGAAAAAATGTTACTATCATTACGATCCGACTTGTACAATGTACCAAACATGTTTCAAATATCTATTTCCCAAAAATACTTCAACTAAACATTTGTCCAGAGATTTGACGTCCTTAATTAGTGCCAAATACCTGAGATTTATGTTACTTAGTATGTATTTTCTGCGTCGTTCCCTTTTATACACAGACATATTCAGACTAATTTAAATACCCATTTCTCAATCAAACGTTTGTCCATGCATGAGGTTTCACTGACACGGCACGATAATTTTAGCACCAGATATCTTAGATTTCTATGTACCAGTAAGTATAATACTACTCTGATCTTATGAATAGTAAAATCAAATCACATTAAAAATACCCTTGCTTTGTTTTATAAAGAAATAAATACCTGTACCCTTTTATGTATATCTTTCTGTGTTCCGGTTGTAACATGTTCACATTTTTTTTAATATTTTATGTCACATGCTCTTATGAACAATAACAGTATTGAATAAATCTTTAAAAAATCTTAAATAAATCTTAAATCTTAATGAATAGTAAATCAAATTACATTAAAATAACATGATTTATTTTGTAAAGAAATAATTACCACATACAAATTTTAAGTATGATATTGTATCTTTGGTCTCCTAGAAATCATGTGTTAATGAACTTAAAATTCATGTTATTATATTATAATAAAGAATCTAGTCATATCTTTATTTTATTTTACGGGTACAATATAATTGCCACCCATTCTCCTGTTTTATATATATATATCTGCGTGTCGGTTGTTACATGTTCACTATTTTATTTTTTGTCACATGTTCTTATGAACAATGGCAGTATTGAATAAATTTTGAAAAACTACCTATCTTCAATTAATGTCAAACTCCTCGCGGGGACATGTACTGCAATATACATTATTTAGCGTTTTCTAGCAGTCTCGTTAGAATTACAAAGTTCCATTCCATCATCATTTGGCCCATCTCGATGTCATTTATAACAGAGAATTATAAATACGTTAGTGTATTTATATTTTAACGTCTTTGTTTATGATACAAACATATTTTTGTTGGGGAAAAAGCCATTGAAGATTCTATTTATTTATAAATAAAATCACAATTTTTTACAGCCGTGATAAAATAAGAGATTTATATTAAAAGAAATATAGAAATATTCATGATAAAATACACCGAGAGACTGCGTGCGACATTTAATTGAAAAAATATATAAACATGTATTCAAGCAACAGTTATAACAAAATTAATTTGATGAAATTCAATTTTATTTAATAAGATTTAGATGATCTATACATTCAATAAAATTACACGAAATCTGTCATTTTTGCTAAAGTGTAAAACTGTCAAAGATATTGCCAAGAGAGATAAACAATGTAAACTTAAATGAACAACACAATAAGTTCAAGGATTATTTTATTATTTTATAGATATAAACTACATTTACTGATATGCGATTCTTGAAATGCATAAAAATCAAATTCATTATGCATGCTGTTATCGAATGCTTAGTGTGAATATTTACAATATTTCATATGGCATGGCTATCTATTAATGTTAAGAAGAGAATTATTTATTAATCCGTCAATCGTTTACAAATGTGTAATTCATAATATAGTATATGTAGAAAATATGTGAAGTGTATATGTATGCACTGTATATATACCATATGCAATTTCCACATAGTGCATAATCATAATTTAAATTTGTAAGATATGTATATTATTCACACTTAGATCATTTTGGACCCCGAGAAAAAATAATTCATTCAAGATTTTTATTACTGTGTCTGTACTTATTACAGTCAGCCATGATGGAAAACGCATCATAACATAAACTAGCTCATGCCTGCACAGCCTTGTTTTCGAAACTTTCATGAAATGTTTGGCGTTATCCATTTGACAGAGCTTCCTAGACAGGTATTGGTGGTCTGCAAACAGTAAGTCAGTTAATAAATGAGGCATCATTACCATCGCAGCTTCCAGTAACAATTTGTTATCGATAAGGTGTTCCGAATGACCACATTATGAATACGAACATGATATATCATGGGGGAAAATTATATATACTATTTATTTCATTTCAACAAAACCATTTCTGAAAGTGACCGTGTAAAGCCGATGGGCATCCACTGAATATACAATCCTCTCCAAGTATTCACTCGAATGCTGAGTATACCTCTTCCATAATCATTGTACCATAAAGAGGCTTACGTTTGCTCCTAAACTTAGAGCCAAAAGTTAAATATAGTCGATATAATTTGGAACCGAGAATTTTAATGTACATTGTTCTAGTGTGCATGTCAGAAATAGAACAGTGAATACTTCATAATTACAAAATGTATAAAATTTGAAATTTATCCCGACTAGGCAACGTAGCACGGCCAGTTTGTTTCAGTAGTATTATATACAGTCTCTGTTATAAATAGTGATCCAGGATTCACCAGTGAGCACACTGCCCGGATCACCATCGAGTATATTTAAGTAAGCTACTGTCCCTCTGTTACATCTAAGGCTGCCATCGTCTTCCCATACCTCAAACGAGAGACAATTAGGATCACTCCTACATAAATCTTCGCATTGACTTGGAGTATCAATAGAAGAAGAACCTAAAGCGTTGTAGCCATACACGCCAGTATTCGCAAAGGCTGTAAATGTACTAGTGAAAGAGGTGCATTCTGGAATACACATGAGAAGCACATGAACAATAATAAAAAATGATTATAATATCAATAACTGCTTAGAATATAACTTAATCAGTATGATGGTATTCATCGATAAACATACGAATATGAATAAAACTAATTAAAGATATGTAAAGACAGGCACTACTCATTTTACAAACATAATTTGTATGTTGTCCTGAACTTTTTCCATTTATTGACCTTGAAGGCCTTATCCTTTGCATGGAAAATGGACTAGCCAATCTTCAGTAGTTTTATATACTTTGATAAAATCATACCAAAGTACCTAAATTGAACAAATGATTATAAGTCAATTTCTGTGAAATCATAACGGAACAGCGATGTAATATATTTGATAGGAAACGTTTTATTTTAGTTTTGATTTAACACGAATGCCTTTAATCAATGGTTTAGAGTCTCTAAAGAATATCAAAACATTCACCTTGGAAGCAATCGTTAATTTCCGGCTTGTAACGGTATAAAGGGCTACAAAAGCATTTACCACTTTCACCATCACAAACTCCGTTTGTTAGTGTGCAGTCTGAATGACTGCTACATGAGCCTCCAATACTTATCAATGGAACTGTAAATAAAAACAGAAATATTGCTCAGTAAAATATGTTAAGACTGTTCTTTTTAAAGGCCCATTTATGCCTCATAATATATCAATTTTAATTCTCAAAATCTTTTATTTTTGGTAACTTGTTACAGTTTTCACAAAATACTTATTAGCTATTGTTATGAACTATCTTGTGCTAATTTTTCTCTGTTGGCAAATGGTATAATTTAAGTGAATCGGTATTTTGTATGGGAGTCAAAATACTACTTTGTTTACATTTGGCTACCTTTACAACAAATTACTTCGTGTTCAGGGCTTGTTATAGCGTTACCATATCGACTTTTATATTTTATATTTGCATATTTCAATTCGGTTTTGACTCAAATTGTTAAAGGCTGATATTAGCAATATTATGGTGGCTGTTTTGTTCCACTGTTGCGTGTCTCATTATCGCTAGCGACAACACGACAAACTGCGCGTAATCGTCTTGTGGTCTTGTCGCACTATCGTCAGGGAAACACATCAAACAGTGCGCTTTCCCGCGGCTTGTCACTTGGTCCAAATTGAAGAATTAGCTTATTGCCGCTTGGAGGTTCATGACATCGAGTCATGCGACAACACGATAAAAAGCCAATCCTTCGATATAAGCCAAGCGACAAGTGACATGGAGACAACGCGCCCACGATAACGCGTAGTTTGCCGCGTTTCACAGCGACAATAACAAAAGGCGAAAACGATATTTGTTGTGTAACAAAAAGGGTAATAAATATGCCAATATTATGTAAACTGCTGTGTTTTTTTTTATATCCTTTTGATCTTTTTAATTACGTTTTGTGAGGACGTAGTCGTCTATGATATCATTTTATACATGTATTTACTTACCGCAGACGACACTAGCTTGATCAAACCATATACCGTCTGCTGTGCACGTCAAGTAACCCGGATTACCGTTGAATGAATACCCTGATAGACATTCGTATTGTACAACTGCGCCCTCTGTCGTTGTAACACCACCGCTGATCACCTGAGCGTTTGCAATGTTAGGAACTGTACCGCAATCTTTTGTCGTTGTTGTTGTTTATATTTTAAGATTAAAGATATACTGTTATTAGTTTATTTGTTTCTGCGTATACAATTGTCACTTAAACAAGCTTCTGTAATTATTAAAGTTACCTTGTATTTCAGGAAAAACTGTCTAAAATAATTTTTTAAATCATGATTTTCTCCTGACCAGTGGTAGCATGTGATTAGAGCTACAGACACGAAAATATTATGCTACATGCATATCTTTTAATTGTATTATAAAATATGGTGTTATAATTTACGGTATCAGTAATTCAAATAACATAATATGCAGGAAAATACATGGAATAAAACAAATGGAAATGATGAGAGAAAACAGGAAATAAAATATCAACACTAGTAGAGGGTTAATACATAGATCTGTTTGTGCATTTACATCTGCAGAAGCACAAGGACGCATTTAAAGCCCGAGCACGCAGGGTGGGTTTTCTTTAATAAGTCCAATGGCTTTTGCAGATATTTATGTACGTAAAATATGCACTAGAGATATTCTTGCATAAAAGCATACGACTAAGTTGGTGTTCCGCGTTTCGTTATTTGTATTTCGTATAAAGAAATCATTGCTTGTCCGATGCTTACTCGTGCTTGTGCGATGCCGTTTGAAAGAAATGTTTTTAAAATAAAAGTACCGGGGCCGTCATTGCATGACACTATTGTTAAATTGAACCTTAAGTCAAGTATATTATAAAAACATGCGAGCGACAGTGGGTGGTCAAAAGCATCTATCCGGCGCAGTTATGTACGTTTTTATCCTCGTGCATGCGCAAGTTTTATTCTTTTGCATTTTTGTTACCATTTTGAACATAAATACCAATATATTTGTGCTGATTTGTTTTTTTAAATTCTGCTAAATCTGATGTTACCAGAAATGATAAATGATATTCCTACTCATGACTCGATCAAAAAAGAGCCTACAATAATTATTGTAACCATTCTTTTCGTTTCGTTGCTCCCGGGTTCACGGAAGGAAATACTTAGTACCCTAATGTCAGAAAGCACAGAGACAACATGTTTCCGAAAAAAGCAATTTTTATTCAAGACTAGACCAAAAGATGAGGTTTTTGTTTCTAAATAAACGGTGGGCGCGGGAAATTGTTGAACCCTTTTGAAGTGCGTTTGAATACATTGTAATAAGATTACCAAATTAATTTGATAATCAAGATCCGATTGGCATCTTTAAAACTGGAGCACATTATTAAAATAGTATGTCTTTTGAAACAAATATATAAAGAACTGTGTTGTTCAGATTACCAATTAGATCTTATTAATAAGTTACCCATTGATTAAAATAGAAGACACCCTTCTGGAAATGTGATCCGTATGAGTGTCGGATGATACTTCACGGGGGTAGAACCCAATATTGATCTCAAAATATCTCAAAATTGAGCATCGGTAAAAATATATGTGAATTTCCGCTGCTCCAGATGTGAGCTTTTACTCGATATGTGAATCAATAACAGGGTAAGGTTTCAACATTTATATTCAATTCAAAGCTTTTTTTTAAAGAAAATCGAAATGTAAATCTAGCCTCCTGGCTTTCCTCAATATTTACCCATTTTTGTTTGGATTTTTATGCAGCCTTCATCAATAAATTCTTCCCGTCTTGGGTCCTGGTCTGCCAAAAATATGCAATGCGTATGAAAAAAATGTAGGTAAACAGACGCCAAATACAGTTTTCACAAAATCTTGGCACCAAACGATGTTCAACCAGTTCTTATTGAACCATTTACTGAGAATGGTCTCAAAATTTTTACCAAACACACGGAATAATGTACTTTCAGCTAAGCTACGGAACTTCTATTGTTCTTTAGATCGGCTATTCAATTATTAATTAAAATGATCAGTTTTGTAGATGGTTTCCTATATCACCTATGGATATCTTCAGCACATATGAAGCTCGACTGGAATTTTGACCAGCAATTCATTTATTTTGAGCCCATTCTCAATAAACATTTTAATTAGGGTTTGTATCGTTTGGTGGTAAAATTTTGTTAAGATTCTGTATTTCGAGTCCGTTTAGCGACATTTTCCTCATACGCACTGTATACTTTAGGCACACCAGAACCCACGACGAAAAGAATATCTCAATGAAGACTGTTATATAAAAATAAGAACAAAAATGGTTAAATATGGTGGAAAGCCAGGAGTGTAGAATCATATTTCGATTTTCTTAAAGAAAGTTTTGAATTTTATAATATTTATATTATATCAATTTTATAATATTTGTTTAATAAATGTCCAAAATGTTGAAAACTTACCCTATGATTGACCTATTTTCTCCTTCACATATCGAGTAAAAGCGCATATCTGGAGCAGCGGAAATTCACATACATTTTTTACTGATGCTTCCATTTGGGGTTCCACCCCTGTGTACCTAACTTAAATATGTTAATTATATGACGTCACCTCTGATACAGTTTGGTAGGTATGACCATTGACCGGATGCTTCACAAACAGCATTCATTACGTTTGTCACATCAACGTTCGTCACGTCAACGTATCCCGGGTTACACCTGAATTTTACACGTGAACCGATAGAGTGCATGTTACCAAATATTTCAGCATTGGTTGCCACAATCTTCGAGCATTCTGTAAATAGATAATTAATAAATTAATTAATTAATAAAAACAATTATATAATTATGAAATTTTCATATACATTTTATTTCATGCAATTTGTAAACTGTTTCAATTAACTATTAAATAATTGCATGCAATTTGTAAACTGTTTCTATTAACTATTAAATAACTGTATGTAATTTGTAAACTGTTTTAATTAACTATTAAATAACTGCATGCAATTAGTAAACTGTTTTAATTAAGTATTAAAAATAACTGCATGCATTTTGTAAACTGTTTTAATTAAGTATTAAAAATAACTGCATGCATTTTGTAAACTGTTTTATTATTTTATTTTATCTATTTTTTTTTGTTTTGTGTTTTTATTGTTTGTTTGGTTGGTTTGTCTTTTTTTTTCTTTGTGAAAAAAATATAAAAAAAGCATATTATTATCAGTATGCAAATACAAATCCAGATAAATAACTAAACTGTGTAAAACCTTTACCGATAAGTCCTCGGATGTGCATCAATGTAGCTGGAGATCGAACGAAATTCACACGTATGTATGTTATCAAATCAACTTTTGAATATATCACTAAAATGTTGGGTTTTTTTTTTTACTTTTATTGTGTTACGCAGAAAAAACAACAACAACAACAAACGAAAACCAAAAGAAGAAAATCCTGGTCAAAAAGTTTATAAAAATGACATTGTAACATTTCATCATGTCATACAAGACTAGATTTTTAAATATAAGTTATACCTGTTACTGAGCATGTCTTTGTTACAGGATTGCAGGTCAACCCGTCGAGACAATCACATCCCTGAAGCTATAGAGAACATAGTTCCAAAATGATCATGATAATTTATAATTACATTTTAATTTTGACAGATATCAATTATAGTACATTGTATGATATTTGTACTTGTTATTCCTGTAGAAATAGACATAATATTATGGCTTTTTATAAGAATAGCACTTTCAAATTTCGATGTAAAGCTAAATAGATCAATTGAGGTGACATTATTTATATTTGACGTAACTTTCATTTCAATCAATAGATGTAATCAAATTACTATATTAAAATATTCAATTATACCATTAAATTTATCAATGACAAGCACGTAAAATGTCGCGCTTCTTCAACATTTTGCGTCCTTTCCGTCAATAGTTCGTGTACTTTCGGCAAAAATTATCATTTTCCGTTAAAAAAGTTTCGAAATATCCAGTGGGAACATCGCGGCTATCACCAATAACAAGTTTTCTTCTTTAAAAAGAAGCATGCGAGAGGTCTTTTGCAGCTGTGGAAAATTTGCTTAATTCGAAAATATTTGGAGATATTTTTTCATTAAAGGCACAATAAATGTTCATAAATTACAATTATTTAACGAAATAAAATTTACATGTATTGAATATAGTATCATAGTATTTTTTTAAAAACATTTTGAAAGATTATATGCCGGAGAAATGGTTATTTTCTTGGCTCATCAGGGATACTTTTTCTAGAAAGGGAACAATTTATGTTATGTTATCAAACTAGATTGAAAATAAATGGTATATATTAAAAGTAGTATCAAAATAATGTTTCTTGTAAAATTCAATAATCAAATTTTCGGTTTATGTTTTGGTTAGTATATCTGCAACAGAGATATGTTAAAAAAAATAAGTCCAAGATTTTCATAAATAATGTTTATATGTAATTTATTTGATTTGAATAAACAGTATATAAAGCTGCATGCCTCCAACTACAATATTTGAAGAAAGTCAAACTTGAGAAAAATGTGTGCCATTTACGCCAAAAATATCTCCATTGCGTAATTAAGTCATACCGGTTAAAAAGGTAAAGAAGTAGCAAAATTTCGCTACAAGGTTCGCTCGGTCATATGTTCATGGTGAAATTGTAGCTACATTGTATAATGTTCACTGATACTACTTTTCGAAACATGAAATAGTAAAACGCTATTCAGAAAACAATAATTTAAACAGATAGAGCCATTCATGTAGTTATTTTCCGATTTTTCTTTGTACCAATTTGTTCACTTCGATGTTAAATCAAGTCGATACGACTTGAGCATGCGCATAACAATTTTTGTAGACTGCTCCTCCTGTTTTATGCTTTAAATGAGATTCATTCACTACAATCAGATGCCGCAAGCAATCAGTCTGAACACTGCGGAGAGGTATGCTGACCTCTCCAATAATACAAGTTAAAAAGGTTTTCTGCGGGGGAAAGTGTTAATAATTTAAAAATATTTCATTTAACTGTTTCAAAAATTGTTTTAAAAACGTTTGTATCGAGAATATAGTTGACAATAATCCATCAATAGAAGAAAGTCTTTGGAGATCGGTGACCGTCTGAGACCGGAAACCTGAAAGGTCACCCGTCTGTTTAAGATTTTTCTTGCAAACGTCTTGATGATACAGACTACAACTCAATACAGGAATGGAGCCAAACTCCTCACAGCGGTTACGTCACGCTTTGCTACTTTAACCACTGCCACCACTGAAATCACGTGATGATAGTTGTATCATGTGTCAAAAACATGGCGGCCAGTTTCAGAACGCCAGGGATCCCATATCAAACTGGCAGATTTATAATTACATCCTTATCAGACAAAATAAGTTCAAGACACACAATTTGTTATCACTTTAAAACAAGTGCCGGATCAAATCTTTTTGTGCAATCCTTTCAATAACTGTTTATATTCTACCATTGTTTACTATGCATACGGTGTCACAGTGAAAATATCTTTCGTTATGTTTACAAAATAATTTTTATACGTATATTTTTTACTTTCTTGTACATTAAGCATAACTATTTAACGAAAGAAAAACTAAAATATA